GGTGGATGGGATTGGGGAGGGGTGCGACCTTGGGCCTGGGGGCTGAGAATTCCAGCAACCTACTGGCTGCTGGTGGGTCTTAGGCTGGGACGTCTCCATGCTCAGATCCCTGACTCCAGGCACCAAATGCATGTGGTGAGCTGTCCCCGGGCCTGTCCTCGGGCCTGTCCTCCAGAGGCTGCTCTGTTTGGGGTGAGTACACTGAAGGGGAGGGGCCTCAGGGGCCTGGGCGGGCACAGGGCCCACCCGCTACAGTCATTGGGCCAGGTGATGGGATTGGGGAGGGGCGCAACCTTGGGCCTATGGGCTGAGACTTCTGGCAGCCTACCAGCTGCAGGTGGGTCTCAGGCTAGGACGTCTTCATGCTCAGATCCCTGACTCCAGCCACTACGTGCACATAGTGAGCTGCCCCCAGGACTGCCTAGGCTACAGGGGCTGCTACCTTCAGGGTGAGTACACTGAGGGGGGGTGTTTTGGGGGCCCAGGCAGGCACAGGGCCCACCTGCCACCGTCATTGGGTGGGGAATGGGATTGGGGAAGGGTGCGACCTTGGGCCGGGGGCTGGAACTTCTGGCAGTCTGTTGGGTGCTGGTGGGTCTTAGGCTGGGACGTCTCCATGCCACTGCATGCACACGAGCTCTGGGATTTTGGTTCTTTGAATCACTGCTTATGTAGCTCCATGTTGAACCCACTGTGCTTCTGGGATGTGAATTAATCCTATAGATTCCCAATGGCAGAGTAAATTTTCCTTTGAAGAACATGTAATCACTGAACAATGCGGACCACCAAACACTGGTCCACGTAAAACCTAAGACTTGTCTAGCAGGAGCATATCCTATTACCTGACATGATGGTGAGTCAGGAGATGGGTCTCATTAGACAGGGACATGACATTAACTAGCACACGAGAGAACCATTTCCGAGGTTATATTCTGTGGGGGATGTGTGGGCCAAAGCCTGTGGAAATTCTAGCCCCACGGGTTAGTTCAAGAGATGGGGTGGTGATGGACTAGGCTAGGTATGACCAAGGAGCCTGCCATCAATCACAGGTTAAGGAATTGACAACAGTCTGGACTGGTCAAGGCAGCAGCACCCAAATGTGCGTCCTGAATAGGGTGTGGGGTGGGCTGGACTGCAACATTCACCAGCTCATGCAAGGCCAAATGGAAGGCCAGACTACACCGGGCACTGGCCTAAAACCCAATGGCATGTATGAGAACTGGGTCTGGAGTGGATCAAGTGGAGGAACTTGGGAAACTCCCCTGGTGGGTCATAGCTCCTGCTGGGGAACATGTGGTCCAGACCTGGGGGTCGGACAAGCTGGGCAAAGTATCTCTAATGGCTGGCCAATGTGTGAATTGGTAATGGAACAGGGTAGACCGGGCAGGACTGAGCAAATCTTAGCCCATAAGTAAAAATAGAAACCAGCATGAGGCACAGGTCATGCCGAGCTAGGCTCTTGCACCTACTGGTCTGCATGAGCCAGGGATGCTAAGCCACAGTGTCTAAGGCAGGGGTCGCAACAGGTGAGGGGCTGAGCCAAGCTGAGTCAGAGCAACCACTGGCATGCGCATGATCTATGGCTGGGAACAGGCCCAGTTGGGGCGCTAGGGGATACCATAGCTGGATTGAGGTCCCCACCAAGGGGCATGTGGGCTGGAATTGGGGCTGCGTTCTGATAAGGATATGGTTGTAGTCTCCCTTGACGCAAGTGTGGACTGGGATTGGATGCACCAAGCCGGGCCAGACTCCAACACCCTCTGGTGTTCTAGAGGACCAGGGTAGATGTGGGACGGACTAGGCTGAGTCTCAACCCCTACTGAGCCATGTATGAGCTGTATGTGGGTAAGGATGAGGCGTGGCTGGGCTGAAACATCCAACAGCAAGGACCAGTTTGGGTTGAAGGCCAGCCAGGAAAAAAACCACTGTTCCTGCAAGTGCAGGAGGTGGACTGAGTAGGGCTGGCTCATGGACCCATGGTATGCGTGAAATCTGGCGTTAGGAGAGGTTCTGATGGAGGAGCCTGGGCAGCTCCTCTGGCAGGACACAGACCCGGCAGGTAAGCGCAAGAAGCATGATAGGAAACAGCCCAGAACAGGCCATGGGAAGTTTCCCACTGGCATACATTTGGCATGAGTCAGGGGCAGACCAGGCTGAATCAGTTCACGTCATCCACTGGGAAATCCAAGCACCAGAACAGAGTATGGGTCAGGCCAGGTTCGTATATGACAAAAACCAGTGCACAATAACAGAATGCCAAGGTGAGGTTGCCTGTACTGGGTGTGACCACAGCGCCGAACCAGAAAGGAGGGGGTGGAGCCAGCAGGGAGTATATGGGGGGCGGTTCCCTTGCCGGACAGCTACTCTCACTGGAGAGCATGAGCTGGGATGGGGGCAGACCAGACTAGGCAGGGCTACAACACCTGTGGGCCTCATATGGGCTAGATTAGGGAAAAGCCAGGCTGGGCTGATTGTTCCTGCTGGTGGAAACTACAATTAGAGTGGGTTAGGGTTGTTTGAGCCTAACTGCAACAGAAGCTGGCACTGGGGGCTAATTCTGTCAAGTCAAACCACAGAACCACCTGAAGAATGCATAATCCGGGAATGAGAGAGGCCTTGGAGGGAAATAGTGGGCTCCTCCCTCTTGGGTTACCACTGCCACGGAAGGGCACGAAAACTAGGACAGGGGCTGGGGTGGCTAGACAGAGAGGCACTCAACAACATCCGTGAGGGTTGGATAGTTGGGCTGGTTGGGTTGAACTAAGCTTCAATGCCCATTGACATGTATGAGAGTCAAATGCGATGTGGGACTTACTGGACTAGTCTGCTACACATACTGGCAAACCAGGGTAGGAGGGTGGGCCTGATGGAGGTTATTGTGGGTTGCTCCGACTAGGCTGCAGCTCCCACTGGTTTATGTGAGGACCGAGTGTGTGCTGGGCAGAATCAGGCTGGACTGCAACATCCATTGGTTCCAGTGAAAGTCGGGGCTGGAAACGGAGCCAACCTAGCAATTGCAATCACCAGCTGATCGGGGCAATGGACTGTGCCGGGCCCTGTACTTGCTAGTACATACAGGAATCTTCAGTGACTTCATCGAGCTTGGATTGGCAACAATTCATAACTGTTGAACTAGCAAGACCCTCGGAGCATGCTCCATATAAGGGAACTGGGGTGGGAGACTGGCTGGGACTTCTTCCTTAAAATCCCCCTTTACCTCAGATATATGAAGGAAACAATATGAAACTAATAGTCTTACCCATTTTTCTGTAGCCCTTGAATCTTTTTACCCTAATTAACTATGTAAAGATTGCCAGGGATATAATTAAAAAAAAAAAAAAGAAAGAAAAAAGTGGCTGGGACTTAAATTGGTGTCCATATAGATGGACGCTTAACTTGCTGTGCCATAACCCCAGCGTCAAGGGTCAATCCTTGAAAAGGCACCACCTTCATCTTCCAGTTGTGAAAGGAGATAAATCAAGGTGGGCAGGTAAGACACAGAGCAGCATGGCAAGTGGCAAGGAGGGGAACTGGTTCCTGGAGGTTTGACAGTGAGTGAACCCAGCCAAGTACTGGGGAGAAGACAGCTACTTCAGGAGATCCTCCAGGCCCTTTTGGGGTTCAAGCAGTTTTTCTACATCCTGGAGGTGTTACCAGTGCCTGGAGAGGAGGAGGGTATCCCTTGGCTGGGGGTGGGTGTGCGGGCGTCACAGTTACCACTGAGTCCTTTGCTGGTGACTGTGCTGTTGGGTGGCAAGCACTAGGAGAGTGCAGGGCCCCTATGGCAGAAAGTGGGACAGGCGAACAGTTTGTTTCTGGCGCTGGCCTCTGTGAGGTGGCAGTGCAGGGAACCTGGGATTCCCTGGAGGCTGGGGAGAGGCCACATAAAGCCGGCACTACTGACTACTGACTCATTCCCGCCCTAGAGATTCCAGGGCTTGGGATGAGTTCATGAGGATGGCAGAGTCATCACAAATGAGCCTTGCCTTGTGAATGTGCATGAGCTTGCAGCATTTTAAAACAATTTCGTGTGCAGGAGCTAGTGAAGTCATGTTTTGGTGCCTAAGTGACCGGTCCAGACAGTGCTGAAATTCCATTCCCATTGCAAAGACAGCCCTGTGCCTGCTGCAGTAGCAGGGACTAGGATGGCCAATGTCATTCTTGGGAAGGAGGAATGAGGCAAGTGGCTGTGTGGAGCATCCATCTTGCTGGGTGACTTGATGCAAGCCCTGTTTCCATCCCAGGCCCCCGATACCCATGCAATAAGGAGGGGTGGGCCTTTGGCTTAATGGTTAGAATATCTGGATCAGGTATGTGTTTCCAGCTAACAATCCTGCTAATGTGGACCCTAGGAAGAAGGCTCTAAGGACTGGTTTCTATTGCTCACGTGGCAGATGTGGATTAAGTTCTTAGCTCCCAGCTCTGGCCTGGCCTCACCTTGGTCATGGCAGGCATAGAAGAGTGAATCAGTGGATGGGAACTCTGCCTGCCTCTGAAATAAAACAAAACCAAAAAGCAGTGAGGCTGGACCGCTTGAGCCTGTCCCGGTGCCCCACATTTCTCCTTCTGTGAAGATCTCAGTTCTGTCCAGATCCTTTCCTGAATTTGTCCATATGTTGGGACTTAGAGCTTGGGCTAACTGAAGGTGGCATGCTGCCTACACTGTGAGAAGCCTGGCTAATGTCCTGCGCATCTGTCATGCCCTGTGGTATTGAGAGGTCCTGTGGTGTGGGCTGCTCATCTCCTGTGGCATTGGCACATGTAGCCCACAACTGTTTGCAATGGCTGCAGGTATAATGTGTGTTTCCGTGGCCCTGCAGTGTCACCTGCACAGACTTCTGTCTCAGGAAGGTGTCAACAGTTAGGAGCTTCCTGTCAGCTGGGCTAGTCCTGGGAATTAATTGTAGCAAAGTCCTCCTGCCCTGGGCCTAACAGACTCCTCATCACTTGGCTGAATGAGATACTGATGTTTCCCACTTTCCCTTGTGCTTGGCTCTTAGAAAGAAAAGCTTCAAGATGATTCGATCCCAGTCCCTGTCTCTGCAAATGCCAACACAACAAGATTGGAAGGCCCCACCAACAGCCAGTCCAGCCATGTCTCCTGCAACCCCTGTGGTCTCTGGAGCTGTTTCCCAGCCTGCACCAGTGCCCTATGCCATGCCTGAGTACCAGCGGGTCACCATCAGCGGAGATTACTGTGCCGGGGTAAGGTACCTGGAGGTGGGTGGGCGGGAGCCTGTGTGCAGGTATCCCAGACCCTTGGGCTATCCTCCAAAGCTTGGCCCATCTGTGAGAGTCTGGGCAGTGGTGGAGAGGAAGTGTAGTGAATGGAGAGGAAGGAGGCTCCTGGCGGAGGTAGTGGGTATGGGTATATCCAGGCGACTGCCACATGCTCATGCACAGGGCTCAGAGCAGCAGGGTGGCACGCTGACCATGGCCCCATAAGCTTCCCATATGTTCTTTACATCCAGAGGATGTCCCTGTCGCCCATTGAGAAAGGTGCCAGTTGGGGTCCATTGGAGTTCCCACAAGTGTAGTGGATTAGAAGTCATGGGATCCGGTGTTTTGTGTGAAGTTGGTTATTGCTGACTTAGCTCTTCCTGCACACTGTTGGAACCCTCAACTGGGGACTCAGACTCTGGAGGAGCCTAGCCTATGCAAAGTCATGGTGATCTGGAAATAATGTTCGTTTTACCTGATGGGTAAAAGCATTTGTGTTGCTTCTGCATTCAGGTCACTGGTTGCCAGCATGAAGTTGGGCTCTGTCTCCTGGTACTTAACTCACTACTCAGGCCTTCCATAGTCCTGTTACTCTGTCCTTTTAAAATGCATAGGTTTCTTTTCTTTTTTATTTATTTACTTGAAAGGCAGAGTTAGAGCAGGACAGAAAGAGAGCTCTTTCATCTGCTGGTTCACTTTCCAAATGACTGTAATGGTTGCTGGGGCTGAGCTGTCCTAGCCTTAGAAGCCTGAAACTCCATCCAGGTCTTTCACATTAGAGTGATCTGCTGTTTTCCCAGGTGCATTCTCTGGGTGAGGAGTGAGGCAGCTGGGACTTGAACCAGTGCCCATACAGGATGCCAACATCGCAGATGGTGGCTAAACTGGCTACATCACAATACCAGCTCCTACATACAGTTTTTAAATTTTTGTTGTTTTTTATATCTGAGGGTCTGTGAGTGTTCTCAACTGAAAGGACAGGATTCAGGCTGTATTCTGCCCATGCCAGGTGCAGCAGTGGGCTTGTGGTTCCATCAGCAGCAGGTGGAGCCAGTGTCTGGGTATGAGGACTCAGCTCCACTTTATCTCCTCTGGGCGGGGGATGGGAGGGAGGTCCCCAAAGCCACCCCCAAGCTTGGTGATCTGCTAAGAGGACTCCCAGGACTTAGCTTGTGACTGTGATTGATGACAGTGAAAGAAAGTAAGGGAAGAGATCCCTGGTGAAAGACACCTGGTGTGGGCTTCTGCAGGTCCATTCCCAGGGCAGTAACCAGCACACGGGCAGTGGTGTCTGCCAGGGAAGCTCGGTAGAGACTCGGTATCCATACTCTATAGTGCACAGCACATCCCCAGATTCCGGATGGCCAGAGGGAAGGCAGCTGTCCATCACTAACTGTATTGTCCAGACAAGCAGTTGAGACACAGTGACCACTCTTAGTTAGGGAATGGTGCACACCCTCTAGAAACCTGGGTCCTGGATGCCAACCAGGAGCCAACCTTGCAAGGAAGGCTTTCTAAGAAAGGGAGTCTCAGGTGATGTCTTCTCTGCGCCCCACTGCAGATCACCGTGGAGGACTACGAGCAGGCTGCCAAGAGCCTGGCCAAGGCTCTGATGATCCGGGAGAAGTACGCACGACTGGCCTACCATCGCTTCCCACGGACCACAGCCCAGTACCTGGGCCATCGGCGGGCTGATGTCCCCCCACCTGAAGATGGCCTCCCAGGTACAGAGGAAGGGTCCCCAAGAGTTGGTGAGGGCTTGCAACTGGCTACATGTGTTTCTCTTGATTTTATTGGAAAAGCGGAATTAGAGAGGAGAGACAGAAATAAATATTCCATCTGCTAGTTTATTCCCCAGATGGCCTCAAAGGCCACCTGTGTTCATCATGGGCTCTGGCAATCCTCCTCCGCTGCCTTTTTTCCTAAAACTACTTGTGTGGAAGCTGAAGTGCAAAGAAGGAAGTCTTGGAAGCCCTTGCTGGCTCTGATGAAATGTCTCCCTCTTCCTGTATATTTTGTAAAGACTTATTTATTGGAAAGGCAAAGTCATATATGTATATGGAGAGAGATTAATCTTCCATGCACTAGTTCACTCTCCAGATGACTACAATGGCTGGAGCTGGGAAACAGGAGCTTCTGAGTCTCTCATGTGGGTGCAGGGGCCCAAGCACTTGGGTCATCTTCCATTGATTTTCCAGGTGAATTAAGTGGATTGGAAGGAAGCAACCAGGAATTGAACTTGCTTCCATATGGAATACCAGAGTCACTTTACCTACTGTGGCATGGGGAGCCCACAGTACCAGTCTGTGTCAACTGGGGCTCAATCAAGAGCAGCTCTGTTTATTTGTGTTGCAGAGTTCAAGGAAGTAGAGATTGGAGGGGCAGGCAGACTTCCTTTGGGGTATGTCTGGCCAGTGGAGGATCTCAGGGCAGTGGGGGCTCTGAGTTAAAGCTTACATGAGGGCAAGTCAGGGTGGGCACCTGATGAGGACCTGAGAGTTTGCACCAGTGCCTGGGACTCTGACTTTCCTGGCTGGTATCGGCAGCCCCAAGGTAGTCCCCTGTCTTTGGCTTCCTTGAGTTATGTATTACCCCTGAGGTGCCAGTTAAGTCCCACATGGGCAAGGATCCCATCGGTCCTTGTTGGATATGTACCTTCCAGGAGTCCCAGTACTTCTGGGGAGTCTTAGGTGTGAGTGTGTGTGCCAAGGTACAGGGGGTGTGGTAGAGCAGCTTCCAAGGGCACAACCTGTGGCTTCACCTGGGCCATTGCCATAACCACCACCTGCACCTCTGGTGTGCTGCAGGCTCTCCTGAGCTGGCTGCAGCCATGACTGGTGATGGGCATCTGGCTCCAGGCCTGTTTTACTTGTGTGATTCCTCATATCAGCTTTGACTTTTCTTGTGCACTTGTGGGGACCAGGTGGGTCAGCTCTTGTTGCTAGGGAGCCTGACTGTTAGGCAGCTGATATGAGCTGCAGGGGGCTGAAACCCACAGGTTATGGTTTTGTCGCACCCACCCACTGCTTGGTTGGAGGCAGAGATGGCCAAGAGATGGTCAGGAAAACTCACTACTCACTGTGAGAGTATTGAGCATATGAATGCCCTTCAGCTTACAGTGGGTATGTCCCAAGAGATTTGCTCCAAATCTCTCAGTTGGGGAATAGCAAAGGGGAGTCTTCTTTCTTCCATGGGCCGACTCAACCCACAGCTCTGGGGAGCAGGTGATTCTGTAGTTGGTATTTGCAGCTCTGCAGAAGGCAAGTTCCCCACCCATGCTCCTTTCTGGAGGAGGGCTGGCTTCTAGCTGACCCATGTTCAGGAGGGACACTGGCCCATCACGGGTGCTGCTGTCTCTTGCTAGGAGGAGACACAGTAACCACCCCACCTTGAACATTCCTGGGATCCCAGGAGTACCGAGGACGCTGAAGCCCAATTAAGTTAAATTCTTAAAAATTGTCCAAGTGCTAGCCATGTGTCAAGGACTATCTTGGATGGTCGGGTCCCAGCATTAAACAACATGGATCCAAGCATGCCTACGTCAGAGTTCTTAGTCTGTGAATAGATACACCACGGCGTTTCAAACATTTGTGGGAAAGTGGAATTAAAAGACACATTTAATTTGGTGCAAAGATATTTTTAAATCCATGTACCTTGATTTTCCATAATATGTGTTTCTCAGATTTTTTGAGTCCTTGTTTATGTGGATTTAAAATTTTTTACATCAGAATAAACTTGTGCTTTAACTCCCTTTTCTATGACCTTTTTGAAGTATTATGCGGATTAAGCTGCTGCCTGCCATGCTGCCATGCTGGCATTTCACATGGGTGCAGGTTTGAGTCCCAGCTGCTCCACTTCTGATTCAGCTCCTGCTAATGCACCTGGGAGGGCAGTGGAAGGCGATCCGGGTGCTGGACCCCTTGGAGACCTCGATGGAGTTCCGGGTTCCTGGCTTCAGCCTGGTCCAGCCCTGGCTGTTGTAGCCATTTGGGGAGTGGACCAATGGTTAGAAGATCTCACTCTATTTCTCTTTCTCTCTGTAACTATGCCTTTCAAATATATATACATCTTTAAAAAAAAAAAAAGATGTCAGTGCTGAGGAGACGCAGTAAAGCAGGGAAGGGTATATGCAATGTAGGGACAGGTGGGTGTGGTTAGCTTTTAGATAGTGTGGTCAGGGCAGGCTTCACCCAGAATGGGACTTGGGAGTGCTTGGCCATCACCTGATCTTGTTTTGCAGACTTTCACCCTCCCCCACTGCCCCAGGAGGACCCTTACTGCCTGGATGACGCACCCCCCAACCTGGGCTACTTGGTCCGCATGCAGGCGGGCATCCTGTTCGTGTATGATGACAAGAAGATGCTGGAGCGCCAGGAGCCGCACAGCCTGCCCTACCCCGACCTGGAGACCTACACGGTGGACATGAGCCACATCCTGGCTCTCATCACCGATGGCCCCACGTGAGCCTGCCTCCCTGAGTCTGCCTGCCTTTGCATGGGTGCTGGTTCTAGGGGACAGAACTGGGACAGGCTGACAGGGGTCGCCCCCATGTTCCCCTACAGCGGGATTTCCTCTTTCTGCAGCACTTTATTTCTGCATAAATTTTCTTCTTGGCACCTTCCAGGACAGGCACTTCCTGTCTGTCCCTGCCATGTACACCAGTGGCCCCTCCTCCAGGGGGAATGACACCCCAGGCACAGCTGTAGACAGTGGAGGAGTGAAGGCCCTGCAGGGTGCCTGGGACATGTGCTGTGGCCTCAGACACTTGGAGGCTCCACTGGAGATGACCTGACTGAGTTTGGCCCTCAGGAAAGGGTACAGTCAGGCTGGGAACCTGCTTGCTGGCTGCTGTCCTTGGGTTTTGACTGGGCATGGTGCAATGCTGTCACCACTAGAGGGCCAAGGGGGAACTGAGATGTGGGAGAGGAAGGAGCTGTTTTGGGGTGCTGTCCTTGGCTGTCCTTGCCAGGGTTTGTGTCATGCCTGGGGCAAGAAACTGGCCAGGGAGATGCCTTCTGGGCTCGCTGCCTGCCTAGAGATGCCCCTGGGCTGCACTTTGGTGCCAGGCTCCATTGAAGGGTCAGTGGCACCCATGTGAACATCCAAATACCAGGCTGCAGAGGGAGCTTCTATGTGTCTGAGGGCACGAAGGAGTAGGGTGGCATGGAGGATTATACTCACAGGGTCTGAGTGGCTATAGAGCTCATCCCATGCCAGGCTCCCGGGTACATGGGTGCTAGAGGTAGCCACAGTTGGGAGTAAACTCCTCTATACACAGGTTTCTCTGAGTTGGAGCATCTCAGGCACATCTGTCCTCGTGGAGGTTTCTGTGCTGGTAGCAGGCAGCTGCCTGCCCAGCCCCCTTCCTGTTGGGAGGTGCCGGGGTCCTGGATTGAGGGCATGGTCAGGTGTGGTTGGAGCCTCTACAGCCTGAGGTGGGTAGGGCATGCCTTGTAGCTTGACTGCATCTTCCACTTACAGGAAGGCCAGTCCCTCTTTAGGTAACTAAGGGTGTCCATGGAGCTAGGAGGAGGGATGCTGTGGCTTTGTGGAGCACTGCCCTGCTCAGTGTCCAGTCCTCCCTTCACCCTGGGGCGTTACTCCACCAGTGTGTTCACACAGGAAGTGGAGGTTCAAGGTTGCCGGCCTACACCCACAAGGTCAGAAGCCCAGGAGCCTGGGTGAGGTCCTGCGGCAGCTCTTGCTGCCCACACTAGATTCCCATTTGCTTACAGAGCACGTGGGTGCGGGTGATGGTGCCACTCGGTCTGTGGCAGCTGGAGACTGCTTTCTACTCCCTCCTAGGGGTGCTGACCCTCGCACCTGAGGCCCGCCCCTGCTCATGCTGGAGAGTATGGCATCACTTATGCTCAATTGTGGTCTCTTCCCCCTCTCCAACCTGCAGGAAAACCTACTGCCACCGGCGACTGAACTTCCTGGAATCCAAGTTCAGCCTTCATGAGATGTTAAATGAAATGTCTGAATTCAAAGAGTTGAAGAGTAATCCCCACCGAGACTTCTATAATGTGAGAAAGGTGGGTTAGCAGCCAGTGGCCAGATATACTGCCTGTCTCCCCAGCTCTGTGGGCTGCCCTGGACCCAGTCCACCATGAGATGATTAGAACTACTGGCTGAGGGTGGCCTTCCCTGGCCAGAGGACCAGGATGTAGACTGGTGGCAGGCATGCCTTGGACAAGACTCCCTGCTCTGGGTATAATCCCTGTCTGTGTGGTAGACACTGGGTGTGCAGGATGAAAGATAGGGCCCAACCTGTACAATGCTCATAGTGTTGAGCCTGGGTTATTTCCAGAGTAGGTGATTTGATACAGAGAGAGCCTTCAGGGTCAGGTGCATTTAGCGAAAAGCATCCCCTGTGCTCAGTTCACTAATCCCCTCCATCCTGGCTTTCCCTGAGCAGGTTGGCAGGGGTTTCTGGCATCCTCAGTCACATGACTGAGACTGGGGTGAGGGTAGCCCCTAGTGTTCCTGTGTACTTCCTGCTAAGAGCCTGCAGGAAGGAAAAGAGTCACTGCTAAGCATGGGGCATTGCCTGGCTGCAAGATGCTCCCTGCCTCAGTGCACAGTGCTCTGATGCGGCAGCTGTCCATGTTGAGCTCCTGCAAAGGGTGAGAGAGAGTTAACCAGATGGTGGGCAGGGTTGAGGAGGAAGATCAGTGTATGCAAATGCGAGAAGACAGGGAGACGTGGGATGGGACGAGGCAGGTAGGGTTCTGTGTTGATAGAGTGGCAAGTGGAGCAGTGTGGCTAGGACTGTAATGTTGGGGCAGAGAAAAGTGATGGGGGTTGGGCAGGGAGGAAAGAGGGTGAGATTCTAGATGGTACAGGGGTTCATGGGCTCCTCAGAGAAGGTAGGAGGGTGGACCAAGCCCTGGGAGTGAGCTGGGAGATGGTAGAAGGGTAGACATGAGGCCTAACTTTGCAAGGAGCTGGACAAACCTGGGCTATCTCTCCCAGTGTACCAGCTCTGATAAGGAGGGGAGGATGTGGCAGCTCCGGGAAAGCTCAGCTCAGTCCCTCAGAACCCCTGGCTGGAACAATCAGCAATGCAAATTCAGGGTCCCCTTTGGGAAACCCCAAGACCACCTCTGTTACATGGCAGGGTTCTCAACATAGACCCTGCTGGATGGGATCAGGAGCCATCAGAGTTGGGAATTTGGCTCTGAGCTCTTAGAGGTGTGTGATGGACCCAGGTGTGTGAAAGGTTGTGGATGCCACCTGCTGGGGACTTTTCAGCTCCCAGCAGCATCTGGTCCTTTGTGAGCCTTTAGTGCCTTGGTCGTCTCACCGCCCTGCCCAAAGTGCCTCTGTGGTCAGCACATGCCCAGGGGTCATCCCTGGACACTCCCCACTTGGCTCGGTGCTGCCTGCAGTTGTGTGTTCCTGGGTTGCCCACTGCTCCCTGGCAACCACATGGGCAAGAGCTGCAGCTACAGATCAGAGCTATGGTCACCAGTCAGGGCTAGTCCATGGCGGTGTCCTGAGTCAGTCCAGGGGTTTGCCTTGATCTCAGCATGGAGATGGCCTTAATGGCTGGGCTGTGCATGACATACTGATGCCCTGGCTTGGCCCGGAAACGTGTGCCTAGATTTGCCATGGATCAGGCCTATACCTACTACTCTGGGTAAGAGGGAGGCCTGTTGCCTGGGTACTGGTAGTTACCTGACCCTCAAAATCCTATGGCTTTCAAAACTCCAGAATGGGCTGTGAGGGTAGCCTCCTGGATCCCATGTGGCTATCACGTTGCAGGATCAGCCAGGCTGTGCTCTGTGGGTAGGTGCCGTGACAGGGTGATGGCAGGTGAAGGATTATGACAGTGTAAGGTCCAGCCCACTGGAGCTGAGACTCTTGCTTTCTGTTCAGAGCTGATGGGAGGACTCAGTGTGTTTGCAGCTTGGGGACTGGATAGAAGAAGGAAGCACTGTCTACTCCTGGTTGAAGTCACATCACAGGCAACAGATGTGATGACTGATGGAGAAATCTAACACAAGGCAGCTCCCGAAGTTTAGTGAAGGCTGTGCTGACATTGATTATTAAGGCCTGCTCTGGGTTTGGCTTAGATGCCAGGGATTGGCCCTGCCCTGTTTGTCCTTGTTGAGCTCTGGATTTTGGGTGAAAGCGGGACATGCACTGGAATCTGGGGCCCTCCCCCAGAAGTAAACAGTCTTAGAACAAAAAACAACGGCTGGAGACCGCCCCCCCCCCCAAAACCTTGGCCTTGGAGATTCTGCCGTTTGGATTAGGTGCTTCCTGGACAGCCCAGCTGAGTTCTTTCTTTATCCTGTGACTCACAAGGGGCAAGGACAGGCTGAGCCCCCTGTGGTGTGTCACCGCTCTGCCGGAGAGCACAGCCAGCAAGTCCATAATGTGCTGAGTCACGCTGAGGCAGCCCAGCCAGGCGGTGGCCAGCTGAACTAACAGACTTGGGGCATGTCCCACCCACAAAGCCCTGGCGCTCGGCTGGTTGTGGGTTTTGTTTAGTCTCTGGTGTTGTGGGTTGCCTCTCTGTTCTAATGCCCGTGTTTGCTGTGACAGTGGCAGGATAGATGGCTAGGAAGGACCTTGATGAGTGAGTGCTGTGGCTAATGACCCGGGCTGGCTGGTAGAGTGCTCATAGAGGCCCAGTGGATCAAGTGTCGGCTTGGCACGCCTTGCAGATACTTGACCAGCTGTGGACAGCATTCCCTGGCCTGGGTCAGCCATGTCCCTGCTTCAGGCCTGGCTCGCACGCAGAGGGAGAGCTGGTAGCACCCTGACCTATGAAGGTGCTGTCTCCCTCCCTGGGGGACTACCCCTACAAGCCTCGTGGGCTCATGACAGGGGTTTCATGAGTCCCCTAAACCCTATAAACCAGGCCATCCCACAGCTTAGCCAGGGTTCTTATTTCTTTAAGGTCGATGTCTGCCATGTGAGTGGGGCACAGTGAGAAAGGGAAAGTGGGAATGAGGTTTAGCAACCACGTGACAGTCACAGGACCCTCATCCTAAGATGAGGGCAGAGTGTTGAGTGAGAGAATCAAATGGCATTTAGAACAATCCGTTCTGGTTCTGATCTGTGGGAGGATGGATTGAGGTGGAACAAGAGGTATTGTAGTCTCTGTGAATTCCAGAGGAAGATGCACACTGGGACTGGTGGCAATGGGAGAAGCTTGTGGGGTTGAGGTCTGTTGGGAATTGAGCAGACTGATTAGTGGGCGAGAGGGGAGAAGCGAAGGTCGAGGATGTGTTTTAGATAAGATGATGCTTAGTGTTTTAGCGTGGACAACTGGGTGCAGAGCAGCATTTCCTGGGGTGCAGGAAGCTGGGAAGCTGGTTCACATGCAGTTCTGGAGCTCTGGGCGGATGGATCTGTCTAGGAGGTGCTGGTGTACAGAAGGGCATGGGTCAGGTCACCTTTGGGGAGAGAGTGCTGGTGGAGGCGAGCTGACCAGGGAGGCCAGGTGGGAGGATGTAGTGTGGTGTCACAGGCACACAATGTGATACAGATGTTGGCGAGGCCTCTTGAGATCCTACAGATGTATCGCTTCTCGGCCTTTTGGCTAAGAGCAAGTGTGAGATCCTACAGATGTGTTTCTGGAACCTTCTGCAAAGCTCTACCTTCTCACGAAGTGTGGGCAATCCCAATGCCCTGCCAATCTCTGCAGTTTAGGATTGGCTCTAAGACCTCGGGTGCCAGGCTCCTGCAGCCCAGGTCTGTGTGTGGGCTTAGAGTTGCTGCTTGGGATCTGGGGGAGGCAGAGCTGGCTGCCCTCTTCCTTCTCCTCTGCTTGATGGTCTGCTTTGGAAGTTCCCTGTGGGGAAGGACCCAGAGGTTGATAAACAGAGTGGGGCTTTGTGGGGGCATTTATTTGGTGGAGGTCTTGGGAGTGGTGATAAGAGGTTGTGTGTATCATTGGAACCATGGGCACCTGCCACACCTGTAACATTCATTCATCCACTAATGTTGTACCAGTCCATGGGGTAGATTCAGGTGTACCAGATGCAGTCCCTGTTTGTGCTAATTGGAGGCATTTGCAGAAAGGGGCTGGAGTCCAGCAGGAGAACAGCAGCCATGGTTACATCTGGCCAAGGGAAGGATGGCATTGGTGCTGGGGGGCATTGGTGCAGAGAGAAGAGGAGCAAAGGAAATAGAGGAGGCTGAGGGGTAAGGGAAGGTATCCCAGGCTGAGTTGGCACACAGGGGCAGGGCCACAGTGTGGCACAGCTGGGTGCCTTGTTTGGGTCCCTGTGTGCCGTGCCTGGAGCAGTGGCAAGGTGAGAGTCAGCACCTGAGATAAGCCTCCATCCCAGGCCCCGGGCTTTGCTGTAAGGAGGTCGATTAGGTCGTAAGACTTGAAGGGAAGAAGATGGATTCCAAGGTCCGAAGGAGGAATGGGGAAGGCTCCCAGTGTTGGTGGGAATGACATGGCCCAGAAGGTCCAGGTGCAGAGGCCCTGAGCTCCCCCAGGGCTCAGACACCTGCTGCCGTGCCAGTGGAAGCCCAGCTGCTCATGGGCTGGTGGTGCTGGGTTCCAGGTGGACACGCACATCCATGCGGCAGCCTGCATGAACCAGAAGCACCTGCTGCGCTTCATCAAGCACACATACCAGACGGAGCCCGACAGGACCGTGGCTGAGAAGCGAGGCCGCAAGATCACCCTGCGGCAGGTGTTTGACAGTCTGCACATGGACCCCTACGACCTCACCGTGGACTCACTGGACGTGCACGCAGTGAGTGAGCCACTGCCCAGGGCCTGCCTTGGAAAGCAGCTGGGGTTGGGGACTCAGGCCCCTGGGAGGCCACCCTGCCTCTGCTTGGAGAGAGGCTGGCTAGCCGTCGAGGGAATTTGGCTTCATAGAAGAGGTCTGGGGGTGGCCATGCAACCAGGCATGTGACACAGGGTCAGATGGGCCCAAGTTCTAATCCTGCTTATGCCCCTTGGAGTTGTGTACCCTGAAGCAGCCCACTTGAGCTTTTATTTCCTTCCCTATGAAATGGTGGCAGCCATGCGAGCTGTTGCCTTTGTAAAGTTATTCAAGCACCCCTGGTGGTGCAATGGCTGTGAAAAATACTATGATGCCTCCTCAGAATGATCATCTGATCTGGCAATTCTGCTCCTCTAAGAGTTAGGGCTGAAGCACATGATTATACACCCGCATCTACAGCAGCATTGTTCCCCAAAACCAAAGCAAAGCCCAGGTGTTCCTCAGCAGGTGACTGGCATCTCCGTACAGTGCAAAGGTGTTCAGTCTGGGCTGGGGTTGTGGAGCAGCACATGAAGCTGCTGCTTGTAATGCCAGCATCCCATAAGGAGTGCAGATTCAGGTCCTGTCTGTCCAACTTCTCATACACATTCCTGACTCCTAGCTTTGGTCTGGCCTAATCCTGATCATGGCAGCCATTTGTGGAGTGAATCAACAAATGGGGGCACGTTTGCTTTTTCTGTCTTTCAAATAAATAAATAATCTTTCAATTGAAATCTTTCAATAGTTTAGCGCCCTCTGCTGGCCATGCTTCCTGTCATGGTGGCTTCAGTTGCACGGCCCTTAGTACTCCTTCTCAGACCTACCCAAGATCCAGCTGACAAGTGTGATGACCTGGCTGGTGGCTCTCTCCTCCAGGGCCGGCAGACATTCCACCGCTTTGACAAGTTCAACTCCAAATACAACCCCGTGGGGGCCAGCGAGCTGCGTGACCTGTATTTGAAAACGGAAAACTACTTGGGAGGAGAGTACTTTGCTCGGATGGTCAAGGTGAGTGAGCTCCCAGCCTCTGCCTGCCCACAGAGGCTGGAGGCTCTGTGCGACCCCCTTGCCCCTTCACCTCCCATGCAGAGGGAGAGCCTGCATGTGCCTGCTGGCTGTAGGGACCAGGAAGGGAGGGCGTTTGTCCTGGCTCACTGCCCTGGCTCTCTGTTCTAGCTTAGACTTGGCTGAGAGCGGGTTAGCTCCATGTCAAGATGTGTTTGCTGCCGGGCCCAGGCTTGCAGCACTCTTGCTGGGATGCAGCAAGTGTTCAGCAGGCAGCATGCAGCTCTGGTAACTTGAAACAGCAGCCCTCCCAGCTGGCAGCTGGTGGCTATGGGGCCATAGGACCCAGCCAGTGACTCGGAGCTAGCATCCCCTGCAGCTGGGATGCTCTCAGACTAACCCACGCTCTTGTTGGAGCTAGGAGGTGGCCCGGGAGCTGGAGGAGAGCAAGTACCAGTACTCGGAGCCACGACTCTCCATCTATGGCCGCAGTCCTGAGGAGTGGCCCAACCTGGCCCGCTGGTTCATCCAACACAAGGTCTACTCGCCCAACATGCGCTGGATCATCCAGGTGCCTCGTATCTAGTACGTGAGGCCCCTCCTGGGCATGCCCACCCCCTGGGACACCATGAGCAGGATGCTGAGGCCACAGCTGGGGGAGAGTGAACATGTCCCGAGGACAAGCCCTGGAGGAGCTACCTCCTCCCCTACCACTTTCTCCTTGAGGGTTGAGGAATGTTGTCTTTGGGGTGAGCTGTGGTAGGAGAGGGGATCTGGTGGTGGCCTTGGACACAGGCCCTGTTCCAAGATACCCTTCTCTCTCTAAGGCCATTGTTGAAGGGGAGGGATCTCAGCCGAGTGCATGGGGACTCATTTTAGGGACCCTGGGTCCTACTGCCTCATTCCTCAAAGGCCAGCACTGTCACATGTGTGGGCAGCTGGCAAGGTCACTAACTGTTACCTAGACGCAGCTGGGAGCTGGGGGGAAGGCCCTGATCACCATGACACTGGAGATGGTTTCTGCCCAGGGAGGTTGACTTCCATGGGCTGCAGGGCTGTCGGCTCTACCTTGTAAGTGTGTCTGTCGCTGCCACCAGTGACATATTTAGGTCGAAGAAACTGCTGCCAAATTTTGGGAAGATGCTGGAGAACATCTTCCTGCCTCTCTTCAAGGCCACGATCAACCCCCAAGATCACCGAGAGCTGCACCTCTTCCTCAAATATGTAAGTGGGGCCACGGAGCACTCACCCCACACAGTCTTGGCTTTGCTCCTGCTTCTTCCTTGCTGCTTATCTGGCTTCCCCCTTAAGTCCTGTCCCCTCTGGCTGGACCTGGGCTTGCCATTCACAGACACTACGTTTCTAGAATCATGGTGCCTCCACGGAGGGCACACTCCCCGCTCCATTCCAACTCCCAGGGGCAATTGCTGTCCCAGGTTAGGTCTTACCACCCTGCAGGAGTGTGGGAAGCCCCAGGGGTATTTTTCCTCCTCCATGGTGAGTCACAGGAGAAGGGGAGAGGAAGCAGGCAGTTGAGGGGGAAGGAGGGCTCCATCCCTTTGGAGACCTGGAATGACAGGGGGCAGCAGTGGAACAACAGCAAGGTCGGACCCCTGCAGAGGTAACACCTGCTACCCAGGAAGGAGGTGGTACAGGCGGTGGCTGAGTCTGTGTGTAGGGCGTTTGGACAGGTAGAAGGGCACGGGCTGAATCTCCAATTTAGACACACAGCATTGTGGCCATTGTGTGGGATATGGTCTGGAACAGAGTACAGCTGATGGTATGGGAGGGGACGAGTGGAGAGTTGGGGCAGGGGTAGGGGAGGGATGGCAGGGAACAGAGTACTTGCCACAGAACCTGGGGTCAACGGGGCTTGCTATATATCAGACCTTATGGAGTGCTCCCTGCCCATGGGACCTCTCGTGTAACCTTCCTGGCAGCCGTGGGCAGCTGCCAGCTCCAGCTAGCACACACTGAGGTTAGAACAGAGCGATCTGAAAGCTAGGATGGCTGTGTGCCTGGAAGCCTGGCCAGTCGCCTGACTCCAGAGGGCTTGCCCTGGACCCCTGCTGTGTGGTGTGGCCTCAAAGTCAGATAAGTGACCCTGGGCAGAGGTGGGCTGTGTAAGTGCCACAGGACCCGGGTACACTGAGAGGTGCCTGCCAGAGGCCAGGGTAATACAGGAAGAGGTTCAGTGTGCAGACGGAGGAGGAAGAGTTGGAGTCTGGACATGGTTTGTGTTTGAGAGGCCAGTGTGAGGCCTGGCTAGGTGGCTGGAGCTCAGGAAGGGGTCTGGCATTGTCCCCATGCCAACCCACTTGTCCAGGTGATATGGGCTGAGCACGCCCAGAATGCATTTCAAGGCTTTCCCTGACCCCCAGGCCCATCAGTAGGAGGCTCTGGCTAAGCCCTTCATACTGCTTAGCTCTCCCTTGAAGTAGCAGGGCTGGCAGACATGGCTAGGGCTTGGGGTTCAGCCCAGTAGCCCCCGGCTTGTGGGGAGATCCTTCTTGAAGCTCTCCTGTGGCTGTGTGAGAGGGAATCCCTTAGCAGACCACTCCAAGAGGCTGCCTGAGAGCTGTGTTCTCAGAGCAGGAGCCGTCTTGGTTGGGCCTTGATCCCAGGGAGCCCAGCCCCATGTCTCCAGTCTGGGTCCCAGTGGAGGGGCCACGGTTCCTTCAGTGCCCCCAGAGCAGGTTCAGGTGCATCCTGCATTGGAGACTGGTGGCAGTGTGGCCTCTGGGAGCTGGTTCAGCCTTGCTAGGTTCTCGGTCTACTCACAGGGCTCCTGCAGGTGCCTTACTGCCATACATTTTTGTGCGCTAGGGTTGTGTCCGCCTATAGCCTCAGGGAGGCCAGACCCAGAGCCTGGCTAGGCCGGGAGTCTGAAGCCTCTCTTGGGTGATGTCCCAAGCCCGTGTTGCCTGCATGTGAGCCATGGCTTGTGGGGTTTCTCTGCTGCTGACCCAAGCCCTGCAGGACTGGAAATATGTGATACTCCCAGCCCCACCATAGGGTGGCCCTGTCACTAATGGCTGCAGAAGAACAGACTAGGGAGGCTGGGGCTGCCTCCCTCTGTCCCAGTCTATTTCCTCTGCTGTCATGGGGGAGGGCTTGGCACTCACTGACCTGGCCTCCTGCATTCCTGGGAAGCCCTGGAAGGGATGGACCTGTCCTTGTACCCATTCTGCATCCCAGCTGAAGTGGGAGCACCTGCGAGGTCTGACTTCCCAGACACTTGGCGGCTCAGTGCTGGGCCTGGCTTTTCCTCTGGCTTGATGCTCAGAATCACTCTAACCCCCCACCCAGGTGACGGGATTTGACAGCGTGGATGATGAGTCCAAGCACAGTGACCACATGTTCTCAGACAAGAGCCCTAGCCCAGACATCTGGACCAGTGAGCAGAACCCGCCCTACAGCTACTACCTGTATTACATGTACGCCAACATCATGGTGCTCAACAACCTGCGCAGGTGGGTCCAAGGACTCAGGCATGCACACGCCTGCATGTGATCCAGATGTCTGTGTGCACATGGACCAACACACCTGTCCATGTGTTGCAAAACACACAGATACCCCCAGACCATGTTCACAAGGCTAGGGTCCGTGGAATACCTCCTCTCACACAAGCATGCCACCACCATGCAGACACATGTTGTTCACAAGTTCACGTATGCACCAAGACACTATTGCATGGTTCCAGGTGTAGCTGTGGTTCCCCAGGGGAAGAGGAAACAGGAAACGCCCACTCATGCACCTGTTCATATCCTAGCACACCAACAGTGCCCACTCAGGCGTTTGTGCTTCAAGCAGGTGATCTCGCCTGAAGCACTATGGGCACTGGGCATACAACAGAGAGCATGAGATGTTAAAGCCACATATGCTGTCATACATGGTCTTCCATGCAAGGCACTCCTCTCATGCTAGTAAACATGTGGAAATGAGGCCCACAAGGGCAGGAGTTGGATGCCCCTGGCAGCAGGTCCCTGAATCATCCCCAGCAGGATCCTGGGCAGGCTTGTGAAGATGGAGCTTTTCACTGGGGCTGTGGTTCAAGGAAGTCGGCTGTCTTGGGCTGAGCTCTCAGAGACAGGCTTTGGCTTCTGGCATTGCCACATATGGCTGCAGACACACACACACACACACACACCAGTCTCTGGATCTTGGTTTGCCCATGTTTATAAACCAGGTCAGAGTCTGTGGCTTCGCGTGGCCTTTAGTGGTATTTGTGGAAGCCTTGAATGTGGGACCAGAGACTGGGGAAGGGTTGGGGAGAGATGGGCCTGTGACACAATTGAACCTTCTAGCCTCTCCAGTCCCATTTCCACCTGTAGGTGTGTTGCCTTTTGGGCCTGAGGGGCACTGGGTTTGAAAGAACAGTGTCCAGGGTGCTGACCTTGACCCTGAGCTGTGGGTGTAGCAGCTGCCTTCGTGACCCGGGGCCACCTTTCCCCACAGGGAGCGAGGCCTCAGCACGTTCCTCTTCCGGCCCCACTGTGGGGAGGCCGGCTCGATCACCCACCTGGTGTCTGCCTTCCTCACTGCTGACAACATCTCCCATGGGCTGCTCCTCAAAAAGGTAAGCAGGCCACTCCAGGAGCCGAGCCTGGACATACTGCTCAGCCCAGGGTTCCCTGGCGCTCCTGCCTGTCGCCTGTGAGGTCCCAGGCAAGACCGCTCTTTCCTGGGCTAGGGTCATCATGGTTTTAAGATTACAGAAAACAAGATCATCAAACACTTTGCAAGGTAGATTTTCCAACACATGGAGATATAAAGCCCTATTGCTGATGGTGAAACTGGAAATGCCGTTAGCGTGCTTCCCATTTGCCATCTTTTAGGCAGAATGTGGCTCTAGTGTACTTATGCTCATAATGACGTCAATGAACACGGAACTTTGCATCCTGCTGACAGTGCACACCTGCGTCTCCTTGTCACAGTCAGATGAGCACCTGTCACTTGGTCCGAAATGGCCTTGGCCAGTCCCCATTAATTGGATGCACTGTGTCCATCCACCTTGCTGTGAAAACAGGGCTGACACGAACTCCCTGTGTTGTGTTCTCTGCCTTTTGGGTCACTTCCTCTTGGCATGGTCTGGCTAGCATCAGTGCTTCTATGGGGTTTGGGAGCAGGTGTCACATCAGAAGACCAGGCTCGCCTGGCAAGGTCTGCCCCTTCCCATATCCCAGGACCTGGCAGGTTTATGGGCCAGATGACAAAAAAGAACAGCTTAAGTGCCATCTCCTGGTCTAATGGGAGCCAGGGCCTGGAGAAGGGGAGATGAGGGTGTTGGGAGTTGGGGTCAGCAACCCTTCTTGCCCAAAGCTGTGGGTATCCCAGGTGGTGCCAAGTGGGTGTGGACAGGAGGACAGTGGCCGGGAAGGGCTACATGTCTGAAGTGGGAATGAGAAGAATAGGACTTGGGGAGGGAGCTCGGGTTTGACTACAGACTTCTGTGAGCACCCGTGGTGTCTGCTGGGAACTGCTGCCACCTCTCCCCGTCCCCACTTCTTCCCGCACCCTAACCTGTGGTTCCCCTGCAGAGCCCGGTGCTGCAGTATCTCTACTACCTGGCCCAGATCCCCATCGCCATGTCCCCGCTCAGCAACAACAGTCTATTCCTCGAGTACTCCAAGAACCCCCTGAGGGAGTTCCTGCACAAGGGACTGCACGTGTCGCTGTCCACGGATGACCCCATGCAGTTCCACTACACGAAGGTGAGCACCCTAGGACTGGCCAGCCCTCCAGCTCCACTCACTCGCATCCATGGCTCCATCCTGCGCTGTGAGGTGGGGTTGGTGACCCAGTGGGGCACAAGAGGAACTACACTGTAGTTCTGTCTGATGCAGAAGCCTTCTCTTTGGGGTCCTGGGATGCTTCAAGGCTTCAAGGCACAATCCCATTGCTTAGTATGTCTCAGTTCTGTCTTTGACATTTCCTATTCTGTGACCTTGAGTGGTTTGGCCTCTCCAGACTGAGTATTGCATCATGGGGAAAATTGTTTCTACTGTTATCTTACTGTGCAATTGAGACCTTGCACAAAAGAGTCTAATGGAGGATGCGCCTGTAACATGCATGCGATGTAGTAGCTACCTTTTAACAAGGGCTAGCTGTGTCATTGCTGTGCTTTGGGGAAAGTGAAGAGAGGCAGGGAAGGACTGAGGCGTTCGAGGAGTACATGGAGAACAGTCCTCGTCCACTCTGATGGGGTGTGGGCAGGTCCAGCGCCCTGGTTAGCCAAAGTAGACTAGTCTTCCAGAACAGTGCTTCTCCAACCTTCTGGCCTCTGCCCCTTTGAGAATGGAAGCCCCTAGAGTTCCATCTATGGATACTTGGTTAGAAAACAAAGGTGGACTTTCAAAGTGTTTAGTAACTCATTTAAAAAAAAGATAACAGTGCAGTAAACATTAGGTGTTACCTACATAGCAGCTTTTATGGAAAAGAACGGTTTTCCAAAACAACATTGAAATACTGAGCATGGTGTTTGCATTTCTGTAACCTCTTCACTATCATTCTTAATAGGAGACAGCTGGACTCTGCTATCTGCTTCTGCATTCAATTTGGTTGTTTCTATCAAAGTATGTGAAAACAATCTTGCCTCACAAAGATACTGAGTTGGCAGATAGAGGACCTCAAAAGGACCAGAGAGCCTCGGTCCCCCTGGGGAGCCCACTTTGAGAATCACGGCTCTGAGAGACTGAGATGACACAGGCATGGGAGGAGAGGCCAGGGCCGGCTGGTGCTAAGTGGCCCTTAGCTTGTCTCAGAGCTAGTCCAGCAGAGCTGCAGGCCGAGCTTCCAGCCTTTGGAGGGCACTCGCTCTTACTGCTTCTGTGTCCCGTCTCCTAGTACACGGCCTCTCTTGACTTTTGCTTTCTGACAGTCTGCAGAACGTGGGGTGTTAAGGACAAAGCAGAAGTGGGGAGCAGAGATCAAGAAGAGCCTTGTGGCTAGAGGAGTCCTCAAAGCCTGGCAGCCCCGTGGCCGCCAGAACTGGCCTTGGGGCCGTGGCTGTGGTTGTGACCGGCTCTCAGGGAAAGAACCTGCCTTCTGCGGTGTTTGTGTGTTTTCTGCTTACGATCTCATACCAGAAGAGGTCTTAGGAATCTGGACTGAAGGCATGTTGCAGTCAGATGATTAAGGGGGCAAAAAAAAGTGCCAGGTTGGCTACATGTGGCTGTGGCCATGTGTGCAGTGTTGGTCCTGTTGTTCCCCTGTCTAATCTGTGTACTTTGGGGGAGGGGTTTAGGAAGCCCTGATGGAAGAATATGCCATTGCAGCTCAGGTGTGGAAGCTGAGCACATGTGACCTGTGTGAGATCGCCCGCAACAGTGTGCTGCAGAGCGGCCTCTCACATCAGGTAAGGGGCTGATGGGGCCCACCCCACCCAGCCTGCCCTTCCCACACCGGTGCCTTCTGGGTTCTTGGGAAAGAGGAGGTGGTTAAGAAGGGAGACATAGACAACAATGCCACCTAAAGTGTGTTTTCACATGGCTTTCTCTTGGTCCCCAGGAAAAGCAGAAGTTCCTGGGACAAAACTATTACAAAGAAGGCCCTGAGGGCAATGACATTCGGAAGACAAACGTGGCTCAGATCCGGATGGCGTTCCGCTACGAGACCTTGTGCAATGAGCTCAGCTTCCTGTCCGATGCCATGAAGTCAGAGGAGATCACGGCCTTTGCCAAATGAGGCCCGCCCCCTCGGCGTGCAACCTAATGCTGGGTTCTGTTTCAGGTTTGCTGTGTCCAAACAATGGTCAAGACATGAACAAGGGCTTGCCTCCTTGAGGAGGAGGTCTCTAGAGAGATGTCCAGCATATGATTCTGGCTGCCCTGTTTTTAAGAGCTAACCCACCTATTTCTGATTCTATTTCTGGCTAAGAGATGGCAGCTTCTCAGACAGTCCATGAGCTGGGCACTTGTCTATACTTGTTGCTGATTTTCGAAATATTTCTCTTGAAACCACTGGGGCTTGAATGATTGGGGCCAGGCTTTTCCACAGTCTGATGCCAAGGGACATGAGATCTGTGCGGTTTGCTGCCACATGCTCCCCTTCAGGCCCTGCAGGCTAACTGGAAATTGTTCCTTTCAGCCTCTGGCTGGCTGCCTTAAAAGCAGTTTCAAAGCTCCCTTTCATAAAGGGACTACTTGGAGAGAATGAAAATAGAAGATTCCCTCCTTAAAAATCTTTTTTTTTAAATTTCCTAAATTGCTTTTACACATGCTTCCACCCTTGGTCCCAGCTCGGAAGCCAAAGGAATGCACTGAAGCGGTCATTCCCATTCTGGGCACCCACTTCCTCCTGAAGAGGCAGGTTGGCCTGGCTGAGTGGTTTCCAGAGGGTGTTCTGGGGTCCCCTCATGGGCCACCTCAGGATTGGGAGGAAAGGAAGTGACTGCTTTTACTGGCTTTATAATGGGGCCGCTGTAGAATATTTTCATTTGAACTGGGGACTTTGAAGGGTCCGAGAGACTAGATGAACCCTGAATCTTTTGCCTCTAATATTCTACAACTGTAGCCTAGTTCATGTTATACAGAGGAGGAGTTAGGGCCAGAGAAGTGAAATTTGCTTAAGGTAACACAGTGAATACGTGATGAGAACTAGATTTCCTAATCCAGTCTCCCTCCTACTTCACTAGGCTTCACAAGTGTTGATATTTTTTTTTTAAAAAATTTGAAATCACTGTAACCTTGTTACATTTTTTTTTTTTAAAGCAACGTCTCCCTTACCTAATCATGAAGACTTCTTGAGATAATAGTGGTCTCAGGGGCCAGATAAAGGGTATTTCTTCAGACCAGTCTGAATTTGAGCTTTATCAATGTATTCTTTGTTACTAGTGCCTAGTATGTAGTAGGTGCTGAATAAATGAATGCCAACTAACAATGAATTTCTTTTGGGGCAACTTGCTAAAGATAAGTGCTCCTAGTGCTTGAGCCACTCGAGGACTTTGTGTCTATTTCCACAGGCAAACTCAAACTACAGGAAGTCATTTGAGACATCAACTTAGAAGTGCCCTACTTTTGCTCATGAACATGGTTATTTGCCTTTAGGTTGTGTCGCCCTATGACATTGATGCCTGTCTCCTCCCCTGGTCAATTTAGCTTATGGAATTGTCAATGCATTTTTTTTTTAACAAGGCCAAGTACATGATATCTTACAGCAAATCAGGAAACTGAATGCAGCCCACTGTTCTTATGGACTCATTGTTCTTCATTGTCTTTGAAAGACCCCCCCATTTGTAAACATTTGGCCCAACATAGCAAGTATTGTACAGTTTTTCATCGTCATTTTATCTGTAATGATTTTTTTAAATTATTAAATAAAGTCTATTAGGACTGTGGCTCAATAATGTAAACCTATTCAAGTTAATAGTCAAAGCAGATGTTCAGACGTTTTGCTCTATAACAGGGCATCACAAGCCACCAGTAGCTGTTGTCATTTCCCTGATTTGGACATGGATGATTGGCACTAGGCAACTTTTCCAACTGCAGCACATGAGGCTTTGGAGGTAAACTTATATTTCTCTAATTTCTAATCTGTTCATTTGCAAAGCCACACATGTTCATTTCCTGCTCTGTGGATGTTGTTTTATTCCATTTAGCCAACATGTTGCATTTTCACCTGCACTACAAGCTCTACAGGCACCTCCTTCTATAGCCCTGTGCACCTGTTTGCCACCACTGTACTGAACTGGCCTTTCAGGAGGCAGATTCCTCCTTACTTGATGATCATAGGAATATGGATAAAAATTTTGGCAAATTGAATCAAAGGCAGCTATATACTGGTCTACTTTTTGAAAGGCTTGGTGTTTGAGTTCATGGCACCTTTTAGTTATTCTAAAGAGCTCAAGTTCATCTGTTGCTTTACATTCTATTTTTGAAATGGTGGATGCCACTGCTTTCTGTTGCGTGAAGAACAACTCTAGCCTCAGTGTTGGTAGTTCTCAAGGTCTGTGTGGGACCTCCACTCTCCCTTGGATCAAGCAGGGTTGAGAGCACATGCCTCCTCTCTTCAGGTGGTTCTGAGGGCTGAGCTGCTGAAAGCTTGTTCCTCTTTTTCTGGGTGTGGTCATAGGGAAGGTTGGCAATTTAACCAAGTAATCTCTACCTGAACTAGGGTTGTTCTGACTCCAATAAAAGAACATGAACAACACAAATAGTTCCTTGGAAATCTGTGCACCTTCCAACTCCAAAGAATGATTTATTTGTAACTTACAGGAAGACTGAGATGGTAAACAGCTGTAGGAGGAACATCTTCTGGGGAAGCTTCTAGTGTGACAGCAGAATGCCTGTGAGGCTGACATGCATCAGTCAATGCAGTTAGAAACTGTAAAACTTTGTCTCATAAATGTCTCCCTCAGCTATAAGATGCCTCTCTAATCACTTTTATGTATCTTGGAAATGATTTTGCAAGGCAGAAATCAAACTACCTCAGGGGTTGAGTATTTTATTATTTTTTACTGTCCCATAGGGTAAAAAGGCATGAATACAGCTGTTAATCGCTTATATTACCATGTCATCATAAAAGCTGATTTCCCTACTTTCCAAGTAGTTTTCTTTTTCCTAGTTGAAGTAAGCTTGACTTAAAAAAAAAAGTGCAAATTATTTAGACCACATTTTAATGAGCCCAACTATCCCGATGTTAAAAAAAAGTGTTGAACAGATATTTTCAGGCAACCTTATTATCAGAAAAATATTAAATACAATCATAAAATCAAGTCCAACTTGAAATGAATTTTAAAACACAGCACACAAACATCACAACCCCCCAGAGCACAATATAAAATAGTCCTCTAAGGAATATAAACATTTCATATGTAAGAATGTGAAATTACATGGTAAGAAAAACATTTTTCAATTAGCTAACATTTTCTGGCTAAAGATTAGTTATTGCACAATTTATTAGTTTGTTCTAAGAATAAAACCAAACTAACATTCTCACCTCTAAATTCAATACATAGCAAACTCATTTTCCCAAACCACAGTTTTATAGCACTATAACACAAGTAAACTCTTCATTATTGAGTTAGGAGAGGAAAATCTGTATGATCTATAATACGAATTAGAGTTCATGAGACCATTTCACAAATCCTAGAAGGCACACATTATATCTCCTATCATAGTGAGTGCATTTAAGTACTTCTGCTTTTAAAAAGGAAAAGCTGTACAGAATACAAAAAGTGTACATTTCATCCATGAAGCAAATTTACAACTTTCATGATTAGTTATTACAGTAGAACCTACTGACCATTCACATTTAAAGAATCATCACCCAGTTTAATGGAGTGAGCAAGAACTGTGCTCATTGATTTGATAAGGCTAATAATAACACTCCACATTTCACAGTAGATCAGTTAATGTCTTGGAGTTCATATTGTAAAGTAAAAAGTGTTGGGCAAGGTCGAGTTGTTGGGCTGCTATGATATAACTACTTGGCAGAAGAATAATTGTCTCTGGAAAGATCAAACATCTGTAACGCCACTGCAATTTCAGAAACATCTTAAAGTTAGGCAACCTGAGTTAGACTCAGCAGGTCTAATCCCAACTGAAGTTCTCAGAGAATCATCTCTCCCAAAGCTTCCAGAATCATCTTTCATGGACTACTAGGAGTAAATGGGGGAGATTCAGGCTTCTGTAAAGTTGACCTGAATTTTAACTGGTGTCTCTCTCTGTGTGTAAACAAATATAATTCCCATTATACAGACTTGTTACCAAATTTTAATACACTTTTACTTACTAGAATGCTTTATTCTGTTTTCATTGGCTGACTTTAGTTACTATAGTATATCAAGTTCATATGAGGAGAGTTGTATATAATAACTCTAAGATATTTGCCTGGGGAAAGAAAAGGCTCAAGTGTTGAAATATTGGGAAAAGTACAGATGAAGTCAATTCTTAAAGTAGGAACTTAGAAATATGAGAAACTTTCTCCAGGTCACACAGCCATCAAGTGTATCCCCAGGCTGGCAAGACCTCAACAGCTATGGTGAAGTACTTCACTGTCCTCATCACCAATGTTAATGGGCTGTGCTAGTTCTCAGAGGTAAAAATGAAGCTACTTTCAGTCAAACTTCTGAGATGGGTTTTACAGGCATGCTTATTAAGATCTTAGCTTTCAAAATTTGTCATTAATAAGCAGTGACTTACACAGTGATCCCTGGGTACTTAGGAAAATAGCTAGCTAGCATTTGCAAATTATCAATAAGAGGTCAAAACAATTACATGGACAGTGACTATTTTTAAAAGGTGATGTCAAGCCCTAGTTTTTATATGCTGAAATGCTAATGTTAAGAATTGTATGCCATAGACAAAAATTCTGAAAAATGTTTTGAGGTACTAAGGATAATTATATGCTTGTTCAGATACTTTCAAAGCAGTAGAATGAAAGAGTAAGCAAAATTTGTCATTTTCAGAGGTGTTTTACACTATATAGTTAAAAAGGGGGGTGGCTTACCCTATATTCTCCTCTCAATCTCTGAAATTTGAGGACCATGAAACATCTTCAAGTTGAGAAAACAGAGGTACCACAAACCAACACTGAATGACTTATCATAGCTGGGAATATAAAGTTTAGTGCTTGTGACGAGGGAAAGTTTCCTTCCGAGACTGTGAGCATTCACAGGAGCCATGGAGAGCAGTTGCTCCGCTGGGGAAGACCTTTCCAGAACAGCCCCGGAGCATCCCTTGTGGAGGTCTGTTTATGAAGCGGTCATGCCCAGCTCTACAGTCCTCATCCAGTTTACACAGCAGGGCAAACACCACCACCTTTCGAAGCAACAACACTAGGCAGCTCCAAAACACATTGTTGAAGTCCTGAAAACGGTGGAGCATTCAAGTAAAAATTAAGAGCAGTAATTAACCACAAGGGGGCAGACACAGTCCTTAGAGCCCAGCAGAAAGATAATCTAAGTAGTAACACGCACTTTGACATGGCCCACATGTTTAGTCACGTAACGATTTCTCCAGTGTTTAATTTCAAGGCTTATTTTAAATCTAAAGACTCCAGAATAGTTATTTCCTGAAAAACTGCAGTGTGACCAAAAGCCTCTGGAGATATTGCTGTTATCAGCTAGCAGAGCACTCAAGAGCAATTAGTTCTAATGCACTTTAGAACAAATAAATAGGGAAACATGGTCTGAAACAGTAGCAAATTTTAGGTTATTATCAGTGGAAGACATGGATAGTTTATATAAAAAGCATGGGGCAGTGTGTGAGTATAGCAAAAATAGGAGGGTGGAGAAACTCATTGTTTATCTGCCACAGCAGTTTTCGTCCGTGACCGAAGCGTGTGGTCCACAGCAGCAGATCTTCACGGGGCTCATGGCCGGTGCGGCTGGCCGGCCTCATCAGCCATGTTCAGTATGTAGTTAGCCATATCGTCTTCAGTGGGCGCATCCGACACCACCCAAGACTCATTTGCTCCAGTCATCTGTAGCCGACAGATAGGGCAATTCCTGTGTCGATCACTCCTGTGAGAGATAGCAAAACATTTTCTCCAACAGGGTTTACTGAAATACATTATTTCTTTTAAACCAACAGCACAAAACTACACAGTGAAAAATCTCCCCCTTCCCATCCTCTTCAGTTCTCCCCGGAGCACCCACTTCCACCACCTTCTTAGAATCACTGTTTCCTCTCAAGACAGCCTCAGCCTGAACAGGCTTAACTATACTACAGCTATTTATTGTTTTTTAAAAATCTTATTTTTATTGGAAAGGCAGATTACAGAGAGAAGGAGAGATACTGAGAAAGATCTATCTGCTGATTCACTCCCTCAGGTGGCCACAATAGCCAGAGCTAAGCTTATCTGAAGCCAGGAGCCAGGAACCTCCCCGAAGCCCCAACGCTTTGGGTCTACCTTCACTGCTTTCCCAGGCCTCAAGCAGGGAGCTGGACGGGAAGTAGAGCAGCCAGGACATGAACCAGTACTCGTTTGGAATCCCAGCGCATGCAAAGTGAGGACTTTAGCCATTAGGCTACTGTGCTGGGACCTATTCTAATTTTGTGGTGGTTTACATGGAAGCCAATGGAATACAGTAGCCATAAACGGGTTACTAGTTATTTCCCTAAGTAATATCTGTGCAACTCTCAAAAATATAACACTGGTAAAAGTACTGAGGAAAGCCCCTTTGATTAATAAGCAATAAGAAGCTCTAATAAACTATAAAAATGGAGTATCCAAAAAGATGGACGATGATTTTTCTGATAGGGTAAGAGCATACGTACATGGATCACTTAAATAATCTGTTTCCCAAAGGGATTTTTTTTTTAAATCAAGCATTGATTTTTTGGAATTCAGAAATGCAATATTTGAACCAGACACATGTTATGCAAGAAAATTTATTTTTTTCTTACCTTTCAGTAAAATCAAAGACGAAAGTAGTAGAATTGTATCAACTTTTTGTGGGGGAGAGCATATGTGCAAAAATTTAGAAATCTGTGTCAAAAACTAAATGTGAAAGCTAGAGCTGACATATACTGTTCAGATTGATTCCTGGATCTTGAGATCTTACAGGATAATTATGTGTGTTCTTCTGCACACTAAACGTCACAATTTAAAAATAAAAATTGTCAAGCTGTGCTTCCGGCTAGCAGGAACCAGATTTATTTTCCCACTTAAAACAACTGAAACACATGACAAAATCGTTCCAGCTTGCCGGCTTGAGAGTTCCTCGAGCCCATCTGAGAAGGGGGAACCGAGCCAGAGCCTGGCCAGCTCCCCATGTCGAAGAGACAGAGCTGATGTTTGGGAGGCCAAGGCAGTGTGGTTCCCAGGGCAAGGCACTGGCATGGAGGGCTACCCAGAGAATCCCACATCCTACGACCCACTGCACAGATGGCAGTCCTGCCTGCAGCTGAGGAAACAACCTCCAAGAAATCCCACCAGTCAGATGGGAAAGCCTCCTAATTCTGGGGTGCTGAGCACTCGGAAGAGTTTGCTGGATAAGTGGGGCATCACAAGGTCTAAGTTAACCACTGCACTAGTCCCACCTTACAAATCATAAAAGCAAGACCCAAAAAGGATCAAATTGGCACCCTGATATGGGATGCAGGTTGTCCCAAGTGGTGGCTTAATTCACTGTTCCACAACATTCACCTATGAAAGACATTCTTAAGAGGATGTAAAATGAACCATGGAGTGAAAGACAATATTTGAAAATCACATATTATTTCTGATTTAGGACATGTATCTGTAATACATAAAGAACTCTCAATTTTCAGTTACACAGAAATAACCCAAGAAAGAAATGAACAAAGATTTGAATGAACGCTTCACCGTAAAAGACATAGAGTAAATGAGTATACGAAAAGATGCTCAATATCTTTGAATCAATAGGGAAATTCAAATTAAAATCAAGAGATACCACCATACACCATTAAAAAAGCTAAAAATATTGGCAAAGATTTGAAGCAACTAGAACTGATGTTGGTGGGTGTATAAAGTAGCATAACTATTTTGAAAAATGGCAATGTCTTTAACAGTTGAACACATACCCAATACTTGATCTAGCCATCCCAATTCTAGATTTTTATGCAAGAAAATCCCTATGTTCAAAAAAGATTTGTCCACAAAAATGGGTTTACCAGCTTTATTTGTTAACAGGCAAAATTTGGAAACAATCCATTTTTCACCAACAGGAAAATGACTAAGCAAGCAGTGGTATATCTAAATTTGCAGGGTACTCAGTAATAAAAAAAGAATGTACTTTTATTATATGGTACTCATGTATACAAACAACCCTACGTAATTATAGTGATCAAAAGAATCCAGACCAGAAAAAGTATACTGTATGATTTCATTCAAAAAATTATAGAAAACCCAAATTGCTTTATAGTGACTGAAAGCAGACTAGCAGATATCAAGAATTAGGAATAAAAGGGTGAAGAGGAGGCTTTAAAATAGAGCAGAAAGTAACTGTAGAGCAATGGATTTGTTTTCTTGACTGTAATGATATTTTTGAGCATGTACAAATGCATACAAAGAAATGTTCTCTCAAATGCTTTTAAGATGATGATATTTACTAGCTGACCATGGAAGCTTGCCCCAGATCCAGTTTTCAGGAATTTAACCCTTCTCAATACATATAAAGGATATATGTTGAATTGAGGACAGGTGCCAGCATTGTGGCAAGTGGATTAAGCCTCTGTCTGCAATGCCAGAATCCCAAATAGGCAACAGTTTGTCTTAGTAGCTTTAACTCTAAGCCAGTTCTCTGATAATGCCCCTGAGAGAGCAGGAGAAGATGGCCCAAGCCTTTTGGACCCCTGCATCCATGTTTAGGCTGTGGCTTTGGTAGGGCCCAGCCCTGGCCATTGCAGCCATCTGGGGAGGGAAACAACAGATGGAATATTGATCTGTCACTCTTTCTCTCTGTAACTCAGCCTTTCAGATAAATAAATCTTTAAAAAAAAAAAAAAAGAAATGAGAAATAAGCCAGAAAAAGGGAAATGTTTGGTTTTAGATTCAAGACAGTCCCAAGTTTCCTTATAATAGAAGTGTCAAAACTGAGTAACATTCCTATATCTAATAAACTTCAGTTATAATAAGTTTTAAACGGTAGGATGCATACCATAAAATTTAAAGTACTAAAGAATAAAATCTCACATTAATTATATTATGTTTGTACTTTACAAAGTTTCTTCATGGGTACTTTTCCATTTGATCTTTGTCCATTCCATCAAGGCCATGGATAACTTACCATTTATCAATGCATTTCTGACAAAAGCTGTGAGCACATGGCAGGATGAGGTCAGCTCGCCCATCCATGCAGATGCAACACTCCTCCTCATCGGTCAGCTGCTTGACCCTGCAATGGGAAAACTAGCTGGGACAATGATATTCTCTCTCACTATGCTTTATACTCCTTTTTTGAGGTTTTAAAAAGCATTATTGAACTTCTTTAAATCCAGTATATAAAGCATAGTAAATATGCAAAATCAGAGATTTTTGAGATAGCAAATATATTATGAAATAAGTACTAAGAGATAAATTTCAGACTGGATAAAAGAAATTCTATAGTGACTAAATAAAAATGAAGAAAAACAGGAAATAGGTCCTTCTGAAAATAACTCAGTCCATTTAAATCACACTGGATTTACATAAATGAATTCAAACAACACATAATTTATTTACTATACAGGATACAAAGTTCTTTAAAATACAGTTCTTGTCATTAGGCTCGGATAATGCTGATGCTGATAATGGGCATATAAGTAAATAGTGTCAGGTGCCATGGAAAACTAAGCAAAAAAATCACAAGAAAGCAAGAAATTGTCCTAGCTAAACAATCAGTCTTTTGAGAGCATCTGAGAAGCTACAACGTATTCTTCGTGAACATAATTAAAGTTGCAGAAGAAAAAAATATTATTGTAAACATGTGAGTAAACATCATCCTTAGCTTTCAAAACAGTTAAAAAAAAATCATCACTCTGAAGAGGGAATCCTTGTCTTTAAAGATTAGCTATGAGACACAGGAACAAGAAGCCTAAACACAGCCTACAATGATATAAACTTGGCATGGCAGTAATATGTGTACAGCTCAAAGCTAGAAAACTGCTAAAGAGAACCAGGAAACAGGAACTGGGAAACATGATTTACTACACAGTAATTGGAGGCTGACTGGTTAAGAATGCACCAGAAAATACAACTGCTAAGAGGAGCAATGAAAAGAAATTTGTGTTAAACACATTCCTTAAGTAAAGGACACTGTCAATAGAGATGTTTGATGTCTACTTGGTGTGACAGAAAGACAGGATGTCAACATGTTTGGATCCACGTAAATCTCTTTTCCAATGAGACATTTATAGATTTAAATTATGGTAGTGACTGTCAGATGGCAACAGGTGGGGGCTTTCACACTCCAAAAGCATAACAGAGAAGGAAAAGAAAGTTTAGACAGAACAGTAACACATTAAGCCTGAGTAAACAAATACCATCACAAAAATCCTGGCTGACTTCATTTCCTTGTGGCAACTCAGTATACATACGCTCAGTACTTGATCGTTCCTGAATGGACTGCCAAGTCCTGGTGTGAATATTCCGAAGCCGAGTGCTCAATTAGTCTGGAATGACTTTGTTAAATTCTCTGGATCTAATTCCTTAAGGAGCTTTGCCTGTCTAACACCTTGAATGCCTGTTACAAGGGGACATAATTACCTCCTTGGTCATTAAATGCAAACACAGAGAGTGGATTCATGAAAAATGGGATGACAGAAACACTGTGCCGAGCTACTTTAATTTAGCACTTGGACGGTGTCTAAAGCACAGAAGAATCCAAGAACTGATCTGGGAGGGAGTATCAGTTGAGACAATAGGATGTAAGAGGCCACAATGAGCACTAAGAAAACCATTAGTGAGATTTCAGTGGTTGCACAGTGAAACAGAGGTGCCACAAGCTGTTCAGGCACAGCATACCTTCCCATCCAAAGACTGGCCTGACAAGACGCTCCAGAGGATGCATCTTCCTCAGGTTCTGGAGAGGCGGATCTCTGGGCCAGCACACTCACTGCTTGGCTTGTGATGTCTTTATAAAGCTGAAGGAACTGGTACAAATTCATGATGCGTGATGCTTCCACAATGCCACTACTTTTGTTAATCTAAACACACAAAGAAGATGAGAAGAAAAGTTGTTTCTCTGATTAACTTTCCAAGAAAGGGGAAAACAAATATTTAATCAAACATCCTAGAAAATAAGTTTTCAAGGTCTGAAAAGGACCTAAAAAAAAAAAAAACAAACCCAAAAAACAAAAACACGATTTCTAATGAACAATATTGCATTACCTACATTTATGGGGTTCCATGTATTTATGACATCATTCAACACTTAACCCTATAAAGCAGATGAGATGGTATTGGAGGTGGACCTTTAAAGACATTGTAAATGCAGAATGAGGCAGAAACAACTGACCAATTGGGCAACACCATTCTCACTCCACATGGTTGGCAGAGGCTGAATTTGTTTTAATATCTACAACTTTTTAAAATGATTCAGGAGCATTCCTGGTTAGTCTGATCCAAACTAATCTTGGTAATCACATTCTCTAATGGATTTTTAAAAAAATGGGGTGAGCATTTAGCACAGTGCTTAGGTCACCATTTGGACTGCTCACATTCTCATGTGGGAGCACCTGGATTAAACCCCAGCTCCTCCACTTCCCATCAAGCTTCCTGCTGATGTGCATCCTGGGAAGCAGGTGAAGAAGGCAGAGTATCCGTTCCTTACCAACCATGTGGGAGACCCAGCTGGAGCCCTTGGTTCCTGCTCCGGCCTGGCCCATCATGGCTGGCCCCGGCATTTTTGGAGTTACCTAGCATATGACTCCATCAGTCTGTTTCTCTGTCTTTTGCCTCTCAGGTAGGGCAGTGTTGTGGTGCAACTGCTTCAGCTCCTGCCTGGGACGCCTTCATCCCAAACACAAGAACCAGTTGGAATCTCGGCTACTGTGCTTCCAAACCATCTTCCTGCTGAAGTTCACTTTGGGTAATTCAAATACTTGAGTCTCTGTCTCCCACATGGAGACCAAGATGGAGTTTCTGACTCCTGCCTTAGGAATGGCCCAGGCATTCATTTGGGGAGGTGAACCAGTGGATGGAAGCTTCTTTCTCTCGCCCTGGCTTCCAAATAAAATCTTTTTCTTAAATAAGAAACAACAAAAGAATTTATTTTACTTAAAAAAGAAAATTATGAACAAGCACTAAAATGTGCTCTTAAAAGAAGTGATCTCCTGAGATAATTTTAAAGATATAATCTTGGAACTAAGCAGTGTTATCTTACAACTCCATAGTCACCTAAAACCCTGATAGAGAAGTGGTTGATAAGGATGAGAGTTTATTATCACTTTCCTCAGTCACAATAATATCAACAATTGGTGAGATTCAAACAATTAACTAGAAAGCAATAATAATATCAAAATTATGTTTTATAAGACCACCAAAATACTACTGCATCATACTATTAGACGTGGTTCTAACCATCAAAACAATGTAAGCTCCATAAAGGAAGTCTTTCTCAGGCTCACCTTGGTACACACCACCCGTACAACCACTTTCCAAAAGGCAGAGGAATCAGACCCAGGTTGCACCTCAAAGAGAAGATGTTTTTCCTGGCCAGAAGCCACTTTAGCAGTTCTAAAAAAAAGACAGGCATATTTGTTAATTTTACAAAATGTTACATAACAGAGCTATGAATCCAGATTCAAGAAGCACTTTCAAACAGCAGGAAATATGCAAAGAATTGCACCAATAATGGTTGTAATAACTAGATTCTTAAAATAGGGATACATAATATTTCAAACATAAACACAATATGATTTTCAAGGTTTTAAAATCAACAACTTAGTGGAATATTTATACATATCTTTTTTTTTTTTTATCTATATGGCCTTTAAGATTCTATGACATTTACGAAACACAAGTCCAATGAATCAGGTGCTTACAGGAAAAGTTTATTGGCTAGCATTGTGATAATGTCAGCACTTTTTATCAGAGCACTGGTTTGAGTCCTGGCTGCCTGGCTGCCTGGCTTCTGAGCCAGCTCCTTGTTCATGCACCACCAGATGACCCAATACTCAGAATGGTGTCCCAGGCTTCTGGCTTTGACCTGGTCCAGCCCCAGCTGTTGTAGCCATTTAGCAAGTGAACCAGCAGATGGAAGACTTCTCTCCCTCTATTTCTGTCATTCTGCCTTTCGAGTAAATAAAGTAAATCTTTAAAAAAATTTTTAACTGGTTTTACTCATCCAAATTTCGATTTGTTCTTGGTTGAGTTCTTAAACAGCACAACAATACATCTCTGTAAAAGTTTATCTCTTAAAGATAATTGGGACTTGATCAAGGAAAACAAATTATTTGTGACATTTTAAGTATAGCCTTACCGTCCTCTCCTAGCAGAGTAATCTGAGAGCCAAAGGATCTAATATAAAAATGTAGCCTGTTTGGAAGACCTACTTTTTTGCTGCAGTTTCCTTTTATCATTGTTAACATTTCTCTCGAAGCACCAGGGGGGATATCACATCTAACTAAGTGACTAACACAGCTAAATAAAATAAGGGAATCAAAATTAAGCAACTTGTCTTAGGAAATAGTCTGTCAGTGCAAAGAAGCCACCAAGCTATACTTCTCCCACACTGGTATAATTTCACAGCTCTCACAGTCTTGCATTTGTGAAAGGCCAACAATGACCTATGGCAACTGGTCTCAAGCATCAAACCCAGTTCAAAGTGTCCTGTATTAAACAAACAAAAGGAAAATACTCTTAATTATCACTTCTATATTACCCAGTATCCTGCCCTGTGGATGATCTCATAGGAGCATTTTATCAAATATATTTGGCCAAAAAGCCAAATTTTATATAATAGATGGCTTTGCGTGCATCATTCTAAGACTCTAAAGGAATGGCACATGTCACTCACTGATCACTGTTCATGAGTTGACATTAAAAGTACTCTTTTTAATATGCTATTAAATTCTCCATCCTATTTTACTTTAAAAATGTAGTCTCAGAAATAATGTTTTACACATACCATTTGGATGGCTGAAAGCAATCAAACACCAAACTTTTAAAACCTATGACTATATTTTTATGTGAGGTCAGACAAGATACAAATATAAATAGTAAAATGTACAATCCCCTTCACTGCTTCCTTTCCCCTCTCCTCTCCTGTTCCTGAGACAAGCACAAGGAATATTTTGGTGTGTCCTCTTCTAGCTTACTTTTACATACATGAATTCTCCACATCAATTTTTAATGAATAAAATCTATAATTTAAAGAAATGATCTCTTAGAAGATCTTTTTCTTGTAAATTTTTATTTTCATTTTGTTCAAAAGGCCGAAAAAAAGAGGTAAGGGAAGATCTGTCATCCAAATGCCTGCACCAGCCAGAGGTTGGCCAGGCCAGAGCCAGGAGCCTGGAACTCAATCTGGGTCTCTTGGGGGAATGGCAGGGATGCAAGCATTTGAGCCATCCCCTGTGGCCTCCCAAGCTGTGCATCTTCAGGAAGCTGGGATCGTAGATGTGGATGACTCCAACCCAAGCACTGAGGTACGGAGTTCAGTCATCCCACGTGGCAGTCTTAACCACTGTGCCAGATGCCAACCCTCTTTTTTCATTCTTGACTATTAGCAACAGACTTCAGCCATGTCTATTCAGGTGGTATTCCACTTTAATATAACGTAGTCCAGATTACCAAGTGTATCTCTTGTCATCTAATAAAGCTAATATAAAGCTTAAGAAGTAGGTTCATATACCTTACTCTAAGCTATTAGTGAATTCAATATCTTAAGTTTATATACCACATGGTCCTGGACTGTCAGGTGATTTTATCTGGCTTTTGGGGTTAAAGGAAAGGTAATATAGACAATAGAAAGAGCTTCAGGATCAGAGAAAGCTGGCTCAGTCATCAATATGTGGACAATCGAGGCAACCAAATGTTCAATCCTCAGCAGTGTTTTGTACACTCACTATATGAGTTCAGTCAGTGTTGGTTAAAATGGAGAGTCTCATAAGGCATCTCTACTAAGTTCTAGTAATTCTTCTAGGGATAGAAATATATAAAGAAAAGTGTATATGAGCAGTATCAGCGGAAGATTTTATAGAAGGAAGTGACTTCTCACCTTTTTCTAAGGGAGAAAAAATGCAAAAAGGCAGTATTTAAAAATTACAAAAGTCTGGTCATTCAGCAACAAAGAGCTCTGTGAATTTTAATAACTTATAGATTATATAAAAGCTGATTAAATAAAGAATAAATTCACAGAAGGCTAAGTCCTATTAGGTATGCTAAAGAGGCAGAGAAATTCACATTCCATTTTTAGATGAAAATTTATTCAACAGAGTTAACTGAAAGGTGTTGACTAATTAGGAATATAAATGAGTATCTTATTCCTCAGTGATGAAAAGAATCTATCATGTATATATGTATTTTATGTATTTTTGCCTGATAAAATAATGGCTACGTAAACACATACAGGACATACACATCCAAGGGAACTGGCTGCTGTATAGAAACCTTCTCAGTGTTACCTTGGAGTCTTGTCTAGAGTAGCTAATCAGCAATATTCACTTCTGTTAGGAACCCTTTTCGTGCTTTCAAGCAAGAGTCAATTTATAGTCTTTAAGTAAACAACTGCTGAGATGGTTGTGTACTTCTGTAACCCAGAACTGTGTCAATGTGCTTGTGGTCTGCATTTCAAGATTTCTTTCTTTTTTTTTTTTTTTAAATTCCCTCCATTTCTTCTGTTCTCACCCCAAATTTACAAACAGTTACATAGAAAGTCTAGTTGTAACAGGCATGCAGGAAGTATTTGCTATCTCCAACTGAACACACTGTCTTACAAAACAGTTCTTCTGGTTACCTCTGACAAAGCCCTGACAATAATGGGCACAGGTGAGGTGGGGGGTAAAAAGTAACATGTAAAAGAGCAAGCCTTACACATCGTTAAGCTCAGCTACTCTCCCAAGAAATTCTTCGTATGTTAAGGAGCCACTTTCTCGAACCAATGTGACGTGTTTTGCTACTTTCTCTGGTAACTTGCTAATAACCAACTGGGTCTGATCCGAAATTTGTTGTCCCATGATGAAATGATGTCTTTCAGAATCTGAAGAATGTTGCTTCACATAGTTTCTGTCAAATATATATAAAAGTTACGTTTACATAGCAATATATAAAAGCAATAATGTGTCCATCCTTCAAAAAATAAAAAACTAAAAATGTAAGTACAGAGTTACATTGAGTCTAAAAGTCTTACTAAATGACAATTTTTGAAGACATATTTATATATATTTTTTCAGAACCACATAGCTAAGAGAAAAAAAATCACAAATGTTATTGGGAGAGTGACAAACTTTTAAATACCTATAATTTGCCATGTCAAAAAACTACTAACGCATACATGCACACAAACAGCACTCGAATGATTTTGCTCAACAGGAAGCTTAAGCTTATTTTCCTTACTTAATTTTTCTATGGACATTAACTTTCTACCTGTTACATCATTTATTTCTTAAATATTCTTAATGAGCAGTTATATCTACTTTAAGGGTAAGGAAATGGAACTCTGTGTCTTTAAGTTGTACAGTCACTAACTGTTGAAAATGAACTTTGAACTTCTGGTTTTCATATTCCAGTGTTTGCACTCATGCCCATGGTGATAGACTGCCTCATGAGATTGAATTATAACAGCTAGAAAACTTTGTTTTGGGATTATTTATAAAGGTGCAACTTCTTTTGAATTTTAAAAATATATATTTTTTGGTTTCTAAAATGCTAGAAAGTTTAACCTCCTTACATTTTCCACCTAGGGGAAAAAAATGATTAGTTCTTTTGTTCTTTAATTCCTCTAGGTGTTTTCAATTTAGAATTTATATATCTTGTTTTCTGGGGATAGTGTTCTGGCACTGTCATCCCATACGGGCACTAGTTTAATTCTGACTGCTCCACTTCTGTTCCAGCTCACTGCTAATGTGCCCAGCAAAGCAGCAGAGGATGGCTGCTTGGGCAAGGCCTTTACCCATGTGGAAGACCAGCCCAGCTCTGGCCATTGCAGCCATATGTGGAGTGAACCAGCAGATGGAGCATCTCTCTTTCTCTGTGTGTGTCCAGCCTGCTCTAACTTTGCTTTTCTAATAAATAAAAAGAAAAAAAAAGTATTTGTTTTATACAAATGAATATATTTCAGTTAAAAAGTTAGATTACAACTTATGTCATATCTATCAATATAGATCAGTCATTTGAATTTAAAATTTAACCATAGTTCATCCTGTATCTTGCAAAGCCTTGAAAAGTACAACTTTATGTATGATGCCTAATGGAGAGCTGCATGTGTTTATTACAGATACCTCTTTTTCTTTGGAAAATAATATTTTACCAGAATATCAGGCATTGAGCTGAGCATCTGGTTAGAACTGATGATAAACTAACATTTCAGTATTTACCTGTTGTGATATAGGTAATCTCCTCAATACAAACACTACCACTTCTGATGGTACAACGAGCTCACATCTGTGGACCACTTCCCCTGTGTGACATACTCACTCCACATATACTCACAAATGCATTCATTTAAACTCCCTGCTAATCTCTTTACAGATGAATGGGACAGTGGAGGAAACAGGCACACAGAGGCTAAAAGAACTTACCAAAGTCACATGAGGTAATCACAGGGTGTTTTTTTCCTCAGTATTTAAAAGTATAGAAAATGAAAAGCCAATCAGTGGTAAAATAATCTGGTTATCCCTCAAGAAATTCTATTTTATTTATCCGTCCACGATTATCATTTTGTTTCACCTAAGTTAACACTCATATCATGTAAGCAGGCATAACGGATAAGTTTTATAGAAAAAATTTTGCCAGGAAACTTACCTAATCATTTAATCAGAAAATAGAATTATAACTTAAACATATAAAGTTAATAAATACGTAACTTCTGCTTTGCTAAGACTACACACCTGCCCAATCTGTGAATGGCCAAAACCCAAACAAATGACAGCAATTGAATAACAGAATCCAGATTGAAAAAGAAACTGCTAAAACTAAATAGATAATATTCATGTGGCAAATAAATACTAAATGTCTGAAAAGCCAACTATATAAAAACATAGATAAGATTATATTTGAAAGAAGTTAAAATATAAAAAGCCTGCGCTTAGTTTTAACCAAATTAGGTTAAATATGCCTTACTCTTGATAGAAGTGGAGATCCAGAATAAGGAACCTTCCATATGCTTTGCAATGGCTAGATCATGTTGAAGTCTGAATTCAGCTCTGAGAGGCCTCACTTTGAAAGGATACTAGTGAATTAAAACATATCCAAGATGTTAGAGTCTAGGAAAGGTAACAAAGTAATTTACTCAAAATAATCATAGTTTGGTAATAACATGATATGTTTGTTCAAATAATCAAAGAACCAGGGCCAGCTTGGTGGGGTAACAAGCTAATCCTCCACCTGAGGTGCTGGTATCCCATATGGGTGCCAGTTTGTGTCCTGGTAGCTCCACTTCCAATCCAGCTCCCTGCTTGTGGCTTGGGAGCACACTGGAGGATGGCTTAAGTACCTGGGTCCCTAAAACCACATGGGGGACCCAGAAGAAGTTCCTGGCTTCAGATCAGCTCAGCTTTAACCTAGTATTTTACCACCCTAAAGAAAATTCCTACAACTTTCATGTACCAACCCAGTTAAACTATAGCTTGAGTCTAATCAACTTGACTCTACCTACGTTACTCAATAAAGCAAACTTTAAAATATGGTTCCAACATTCAGTATATATATGCCCAATAACTGAATCAATGTACTGTAGAAGAGGTAAAGATTTCCACCCTTTTATGGTCTTCGCTGGGCCTAAGAATTAAAGCATTATAAGATGGATTAATAAGAGAAGCACACAGTCTTATTTAGTGATTGGTACATGTACATGAACTCTCTGACAATAAAAATGAAGACCCAAAAACTGAGACACTGAAGGCTGAAAGTAATTCAAACTGGATTGGAAGAAAGAACAGTATAGTGTGAAGATGTGATCAAAGAGGTTTGGGTCAGAGCAGGACACCATGGGAAAGTAAACAACAACAAAGGCTGTCCATGGCCTGCCCTGGTGACAGCAAGGTTTCCCTCCTCCTGCTGTGGGAGGGGATCTTTCACACAGAAGTTTATTCTACTTTCAGGAAGAAAAACAAAGGTCAACCTGTCCTCCTACATCTGCTGCTTTTTGACGTGTGTTTAACCAGCACGGCATGGTAGCCTAGTGGCCAAAGTCCTCGCCTTGCACATGCCAGGATCTCATATGGGTGCCTGTTCATGTCCTGGCTGCTCTACTTCCCATCCAGCTCCCTGCTTGTGGCCTGAGAAAGCAATAAGGACAAGGATGGCCCAAAGCCTTGGGAGCCTGTACCCGCGTCGGAGACCTGGAAGAAGCTCCTGGCTTTGCATCAGCTCAGCTGTGGCTGTTGCAGCTACTTAGGGAGTGAACCAGCAGGCAGATCTTTCTCTCCGTATCTCCTTCTCTCTGCATATCTGCCTTTCCAATAAAAACAAAACTTTTTTGTTCAAAAAATCGTCCTGCACAGGAACACGGTCTGCAAAGCACTGGTACAGAATTCAGCAAAGGATATTTAGTCCTGATTTCTCAAAGACCTGGAGGCTGTCAAACTACAGTGCTTCCTATAATAGAGCCATGTGCTTTCAAAAGACAAAAAAACATTTGAAGGATTTTTCTAAGTAAAAGAATTGTTATTTTGAAACTCACAAAAACACCAGGAATTCCAAAAATGCTACATTCTCTAGTGGGTGGTACATCCTCGTACAGTTCATCACTTCTTTTCCTAACAAACAAACTGTTGTAGTTTAAATATGCCTCACAACTCAAAGACCAAAAATTTTAAAAAGAAAAAAAATTTTCATGTACAACTCAGGAGCAAGCATTTAGTCTAGTCACTAAAATGCCCACATCTGGTATCAGAGTTCCTGGGTTCGCTCCCCAGCTCTGGTTTCTGACTGTAGCTTCCTGCCAATGCAGACCCCGGGAACCAGTGATGACGCCCCTTGCGTGGCAAGGTTCCTGTCACTTACGTGAGACCGATACTGTGTTTTAGGTTACCGGTTTCACCAGACTAGCCTCCAGTCCTTGAAGGCATCAGGGGAATGAACTAGCAGTTAAGGGCAAAGGGGGTGCAATCTCAAAATCAATCTATCAATCTCCCTGTCGCCTTCGGGCCTCTCCTCATCCCCACAGTATGTATCCCATCACAGGCAGCAAAGCCAAAAACTTCCACAAAACTCCAAAATGTACAACAATCCATTCATGGAAGGATTAAACAAGAACTGTAAAGTATGAATTGAAAATTTAACAAAGAGATGACAAGCACTGTGGTATTCAGAAAACTTCTCCAAAACTCCATCAAATTTTCTAGCAATTTGACTTATAAAATAGATACTTATTACTACTTTAACACCATTAAATAAATACTAAGTACTATAACTACTTCTTCAATCTCTGGCGCTGTAAGCAGACATCAGCTGTTTAAGATGAAAAAACTAATGCAGTTATACACAGCTAAAACAACCAGGCCACGATCACCAATCAGAATGCTTGGCTGAAAAGACCTTACAAAAATTACAGAAAGCATTACAGAGGATTTGAGAGTACTGAGAGATTAAGAACACAGATTTCTAGTAGCACATAGATTCTAACACCGTGTTTGCTGCACACTTTTCATATTTAGAAAAAACATATTAGGTTTGCAAGAATTCTCTCTGGATCTTCCTTGCCTTTTGGGGAGAAAGGCAAAGGAAGTGTATTAGTATATAGACTGGAAGCAAGAAGCAGCAAAGAAAAAGCTCACTCACTCCAAATGACAGAGCATTAACGAACTTCAGGAAAGAGCAACTGCATTCTCCAAGTAAAACCATCAGAAACTGAAAGCGACCAGCAAGAAAGCAGAACAGGAAAAAAATTCCATATTGCTTTGGAGTTCTCGACAGAGAAATCCTCACGGTCAGAGGGGTAACTTCAACACAAAGATCCTTAATTCAGCATCCTTAGTCTGAGGCAGCTCTTGTTCCAGCTGAAATAGTGAATGCCTGCAGCTCATTTTGTAACAAGAAAAAGGGGATGTGAAAAGGTGTGACTCTGTGCCAAGGTGTAAGAATCATAAGCAGCTGGAAGTGAGTTCCAGCAGCTTTTAAATATGCCCGAGAAAAAAGTAACATATCCTTTGGCAGGTCAGGGTCAGGCGAAGGAAGTACACGGCCAATTAACAAGGGTGCTTGGGGACAAAGGAGTAACAGTATGTCCACTTCTGCTACCAAGATACAAACAACTGATGAGAAATAACTGCAAAGGCGAACACACAAGGCTTCTTTTCGTCACGTAATTATTACAATTGTTAGCAGGGAAACGTTTTTTCCTCAGGTGGGTCTTAGGGTAGCAGCTTGTCTGCGAAGCAGAGGCCGCTGGGAAGCTATCAACCATTGCTAATATAGCCACGGCGGGGCTGATCAAGCAGGTGGACAGCCGCCGCCGAGCTGCAGGACCAGACTCAGGGCTTCTTATCGGGAGCGACCTACCCCACGGCCACGCGGCGCTCATTCTTCACCGCGGCCTCAGACCCACCTAAAAGCGCGCCCGGATTCTGAACAGCCAAGTCCGGATGGCCAACGGGCTGCGCCGGCGGTAATATTCAAAAAACGGTCTGCATTCACGCAGGCAAAACCCTCTTTGGGTCCCCCAGAATCACCACTACAGCAGAACAGGGCACCGCCACCCCCGGCAACTGGACAGCGCCAGGTCGGCAGACGGGCAGCCCCCCAGCCCAAGCTGAGGCCTGGGGAGAGCGGCGGGGCCAGGCCGCTCTCGCTTCAGAAGCCCGACCTGACAGCAGAGGGTTGGCTCAAGTTTCTACTCTCCGCCCGAGGGTCGTAGAGCACCTACGAAGGGACAGAGCGGAAAAACAGCCTGGGGAGCTCACCCCCAAGTTCAAGGCATCGCGCTCCGGTGGCGCCTGCCGCTCAGACCCGCGGGCGCTGGCGGCTCGGTCGGCGACTCTGTCGCGCTTCGGTGACGTCACGCCGTCCCGCGGCGCGTTGCCTGGAAACGCGGGCCCAACTTTTCTCCCCCGCGCTGCGCCTCACCCGGCGACCAGGTAGTCGAAGCCGGGGAAGCCATGTGAGGGGGGCGGGACGGTGGCCAAGTCGTAGGAGGTTGTCCTGCCAAGTGGCATCTGGAGAGACTTTGCTCGGCGGGTTCCTCGAGGCAAGGGCTGCGTAACTGGCTTGTATTCGCTTCTCCTGACGCCAGCGTGACAGCGGGTGTAAGGGAAGCCGCGGTCTTGTCAAGGATTGGGTTCCAAGCCACTTACTAGGCCACCAACCCGCAAGTGATGCCTTTGTTTCTTTATGGTTACCCTCATGTGGGAAGTAATTTGGCACAATTCTGCTTCTCATGAATAACAAATGGACGGTTAATGTTGCTTTTCAGGGTAGCTCATAGGTGTCAGGTTTGATTTTGGGCTCAGAGTCAGACAACCACACAAAGTACTGTTCAGCTCAAAGCAGGCTTTACTGGGAGCACTCCCGGGCGAGGTTCACTGCTCCAGCACAGACGGCAGGCCAGGGAAGTCGCCCCTGGGAACTGTGGGGGAGGAGATAGCAGAGAGAGAAAGAATCTGACAGACTGCTCCCTGGTGGGAGACCCCCCCCCCCCAGGACCATTCCACATGGCAGAGTGACCCGTGAGGGAAATGGCTGCCCTGGGCTTTTACCCATCTTAGGTGTGGGGGCTGGGGGAAGGCGGTAGCTCCTCAGTTTGCTCATGCTTGTGACCTTGACGTGTCATCATGGTAGGTGTTGATCTTCTGCGCAGACTTGGCATTTGAAACATTTCTGGATGGGAGTGTCTGTTTGACCTCAGCAGAAATAGCGCCGAGGCTAGTGAAGCCTCTTCACCACTTATTCCTGGCTTGTGATGAGTTTTTTTGGTCCATTGATGCAGTGGAGTTTGTTCTGCTCAGCCTAACAATAGGTACAAAAACACTACACGTAAATATTACAGTATTTGTAATAGACCCAAGTAGGAAATAATCAAAAAATACATCACATCTTTCAATGGAAAACAAATAGGTTATCTACTGAACAATAAGAAAGGGACTGAAGCACACAGCATCTGGATCAAGCTAAATCCTACTGAATAAAAGAAACTAGACAAAAAAAATGAGAAAGTTGTACAAAGACTAGTTTGATTTTCTATAATCTTCTAAATCTTTAGAGACAAGAAATCAGATCAGTGATTGTCCAAGGTAAGAGATAGAAAGAATGGGCGGAGGTGGGCAGGCAGAAGTAACCGAAGAGTGTCACAAGGGTGGTAGGAAACCAGTTACGTGAGCCATTCATTACCTGCTGCTGCACATTAGCAGGAAGCTGCAGTAGGAGCAGCACAGGAACTTAAACCTAGGCACTCCAGTACAGGATCAGGTGTCTTAAAA